TGTGTAACTCTAGTCTATTAATATAAAACCCACACTGCTCAAACTTTGTTACTTTTCCTCAAATTGGTATTTTTTTCATTAACATAAAATAAATCTCACGTACCCCCTGAAGTACTCCAACGTACCCCTAGGGGTCCGCGTACCCCCATTTGAGAACCACTGGGGATGGCACTCTAAATCTCAATTGCAATGTTCTTGCAAAGTTCTCCATTTCTAAACGATACTACTTTACATCAACCCTAAACTACTACATGTGTCATCTCAGACTGCAAACCCTAAACTAGTTTATTCGATTCGACATGTTTTTTTTCTCAATTCATGGATGGGCTGCGAAAGCACACAGCAACGGCACGTTTGACTACATTCATAATAAAGCACAAATGGCACATCATCTAAAAAGTAAAACACAAGGGGTGATAGAACTGGCAGACTGGCGCAACAGCATGTGGTGACTTGTGAGGAAAACATTTATTTCATGTTTTTAACAGATTTTAAAAACATAACATCATACGTCACTTATGGGGACCAGAGATCATTTAAAAATGTGATGAGTGCGCCTCTGACTCCCTGGTTTTGTGAGGGATTTGGGTTCTTCTGGGGCACACTTATAAGTGGCATTCCAAGCACGGGCTGAAAGTCATAAACAAAAGCCTGGAGGACAGACTTCAGTCTGCTGGGGGTGTCTGTGGCTAGCAGTTTTATTGAGCGCTGTGTCCCAATCTTCTCCTTCTGCCAGGATTACAGTCATCAGGCTTTGACTGACAACAGCACATCCCAGCCCTACAGAGAGCGGACGGACAGGCTTAAAAAAGTAATGTTAACGTATTTGAGGGGGGTTCATGGGAAGGCAGGAGGACACTGCAGCCTTAAGGAAGGAACCATTTGACCTCTTTCTTGCCCTTTGAGACAGTATATAAGAGTTGCAAAGACATTGTACTGAAGGTTTGTGGAGCTTTTGTGTCATATAAGAGTTTAATTATTACATATTGCTTGTGTGCTGTAGCTACATTGCTACAAGCCACCTAGCCTAACTTGTTCCAACACACCACACTTCACCACCCACCATGACCTCAAAAAGGGTGGGGAAGCCTACAAGAGGCACCAGATCGCTGACTTTAAAAAGCGAGAGTCCTGACTCCTGGCAAACTGTTGATTAGATAAGCATGGGACAAATTGAAAGCATCTTTATAGACACTAGTATCATAATTCATTGTAGCTGAGCAAGCATAATTATACTTTATTTTAGTTTCTATAGTCCCTCACTCAGTGTAAATAAACCTGCCGTCAACACACTGAACACAAGCAGAAGATGAGTCTTCCCCATCAGCTACCAGTTATAATGATAGGTCTAATGGAAGTGGATTGTGGGGATTACACATCAATAATGAGGCCTGCGGCTGTAGTATTTCCATTTGATGTCAGAGGTGTGAAATATTGGACATGCGAGTAGATTCAGCTACCAGCTCTGGAGCCATGGTTCTAAACAGAATGTGGTCAGTGCGATGCCACCACAGTAACTCACTACTGCATGCCGTCATTAATAACATAACAGTATGTATTGCAAAGATGATACATATATCATAGCAACCTATTATAACACTTTCCCCCTAATGGATTTTTTAAAATTAGAATTTACTTGGAGGCAGTTATTGTTAACAGTAAAGACAGAATACTGACAAGGCCTTCCCAGCTCGGACAAAATGAAACACTTCGACTGTATAATATTTAAAACATGGTGTCCATTTGAAAACTGCCACATAGCTGTCTGTCACCCCTCCTCACTGGTCTCCACCCATCCAGTGAACCACTGCTGTGGTGAGCAGTGGATACGCAGCTGCTTCTTAGGCCTTTTGTTGACTGGCTGAGTTTAAGCTCTGAATGCATTTTAATATGAATAGAGCAAGTCAGTACGATTACAATAAATTACCACAGGAAAACAGCTTTGCCCTTGACTGTCAGAGTTCCAGTCACTGCACTGACTTCAAAGGATGGTGGCTCCTTCTGGATTGCCATTGACCCCTGACATTACTCATCGCAACGCAGACTCGTCATCCTCAGCTCAATGCATAGAGCATAGTACTAACAAAGTCTTTTGAAATCTTGGTGATAGGGTGGTCTATAATGGCTCTCATAAAACTGTGCTTCCTGCTCAATTATGGCTGACTTTTCCTGACATGGCATAACCCTCCCTACCCCTCCCCCTTCATTTCCTGTCCCTCGTTCCTTTACTGTCAAATAAGAGTAAAGATGCCTTAGACACAAACAGCATACAATGTATGGTAAGTTGAATACTATAAAAAGATGTATTAAGCACTAACTATATCTGACAATTGTTCCCATCTGCTAAACAAGTGTGTGGTATGCAAGCAATTTCACACATCCACCTGCAGGAGAGCGGTGGCTTTCCTTTCCCAGCTGTGGCTGGATTATGTTGCTAATCCATGTCTTATCTCAGGGGGTCCTTAGTGGGGTGGTGGGTGGACAATGAATCCATAACGACCTTTTTAGAAACGAATGGTATGTTCCTCTGCTCACTGTGAGTCCGTAACAGAAGGGATTTCCACGAGAGGCTATTGGCAAAGTAAAGTCACTGCCTCGTCACAATTACTTTAGCAATTTGCAATTCTCCACCACTGAACTGCATCTGTGTTTGCAGACTACTAATGACAGGAGAGGATATTGCTGTTCGACTGTACTAATGTGTTATCATTACGATGACAAATGACATTGATAAGATGCTGAAATGCAGTCTCCCGAGCCATATTCATAACAGACACATAGCTTTAGCATTGACTGTCAACATTCCTTTCTACGAAACACTGACATTTTTGTCCCAGAGGTGCCTGAAAACATCCACGGTGAAAGTGGCTGAGGTTTTTGATTATGAAAAATGGTCCCACATAAAGTGTTTTGCATGGGTGCTTCCATTAGGAAATTGCAGTGGAATTGAGCAGGGGAAACACATATCTGTGTTCCCTGGTCAGCCTTTGTTACGAGGGCTTATAACAATGTGGGCAGGTATTAAGCATCTGTATTTGCAGGCAGGCCACTCTGGTTATTTGCCTAACAAATGACTGGTAGAGATTGTTGTGTACATGCACGTGTGTGTGATTCCTACCAAATCTCTCCCGTGTACTGGCTGAATGCATGAAACTAGACAAATGAAGATCATAGCACTTGTAATTAAACTATTTTTGGAGGTTGTTGGCTTCATACATTCCTGAAAGCACTTGCCTTTTGCTGTACAGAAAGTAATCTATGAGAAACAGTTTAATTAGATCATGGTTGTACTACCTGTTTAGACGGATCTTCCAGTTGACTGAAGCCTTGCCGGGCTCTCACTGAGGAATGCTATGCATGACTACTTAAATGTGTAGATGGGCCCACTGCTGCAGCTCAGGAACACATTCTCACTTATTCATAGCTCTAAACTGAAAAGTCCACATGGATTTTTTAACATTGTATATCTTATTTTGTATGAATAAAGTTATGCTTGTTTTCAAGATGGCAAACTTAACATTGTTTTTCAGTCTCATCTTTCTTATGAAGGCAAAATGCACCTGCAAATGTATCATAGAGCAAGGGTTCAGAAAGTATAAAGTTGTGTTCAACATCTGCCAACATGTTACACGACACAGGCAAAGACTAAGGAAATACAGTATAGTATCCTGTTCAGTTAAAACAATGGTTCTGCTAGTTGATTTCAAGTTTTCGAACTTTTAAAGTCGTGTTATGACGCAGTTGTTAAGCTAAGAAAAAAAAGGTACAGAAGTTAGATGACATTGTTGGCAACTTTGTGTTAACTGAGGCGCCACGTTATAGCAATCTCCTAATGTAGCGTTTTAACAAAAATAGACTTATTTTACTGATAACGCAAAAGGATACACTTGACATGACTTTGTATCAATCATGTAGCCAAACGTAGCTGCTCACATGAACTTACTGTTAGCAAACAGTTAGGGATATCAGAAACATAGAAAAATGTCCTCAACTCACCATTTTATGACTTTTTTCCAGAAAAATAACCTTATCCTTTCGCAGAAACAGGGAATAAGTGTTAAACGTGGTGCATTTTTGACTTCTTCACAACTTAAAACACATCAAAACACATCCAGTGCTCGCTCAGTGTCCTTCTTTTAACTTTACTCTCATCGATGCAAACTGACTCCATCCATGAACACCCTTTACCTCCTCCAAGCAGCTGATTGGTCGACGAGTCAACATAGTCCGGCTGTGATTGGCTGGACACAACGTCACTCAAAATTCCAACGTCTTCTCCGGTAGGATCGGCTTGGGATCACTGAGGAGTTCCCAAACGGCCACGTGACTACTGACTTGTGAGGTGGCTTCCTTTAAAACAGCTGTCCGGAGATGATGTTGGAAACGTTTTCTTAGTTCAAAGAAATTAACTTTAACATTTAAAAAACCATCAAGGCTTTTTCAAGAGCTTTGCTTGTAAAATATGTGTGTTTACATTGTCACTCTCCCTTCTATATTGTGATGGAGAGACAGCCAAGTTTGTTAATACTTTTCATTATCACCAATATTGTTGGAAAGAAACCAAGTAGTCCGCTTTGTAACAAAACCCTTTTAAAAAGGTTGCAATACAATACATTTTAGGCTGGAAGAAAGTGCCTGACAAACAGATTTCTGGTAAAATGGGAAAAACTGTCACACAGAACACAAAAAGTTAATTACTCCTATTCTGCCACCTACAGGCGGATGCTCCATTGCAGTGAAACTTTGCCCTTTTTCTATCATGGAGTAAACAGACATCCCCTGACTACATTAAGGGACATTTAATGGATATTTCACATCATATTTAATGCAGGACATTTACTGTACAGAACAACTGATACACTGTTTGTGAAGTTGTGTAAATGAGGAATTTTAATAGATTGAGCAGATTATCTCCTGTTAAAGTTGCTTTGACGACCCCCAGTCTGGTAACCACTGCTCTATTGCACAACCCTAATAAGGAAGAAAACCACGAGACACAATGCTGTTTGAGAGCCAACCATTTATTTTGTCACTCAAATTAACTCATGTTATTGCATTTCCCAACAGACAGGATGTTAAAACTTAGAGCTCCCAGGAAATCCTCCACCCATCTCATAATGTTAATGATATTATTTCACAACAAATGAAAAGGTGGAGTGAAAATCAAACACTCTTCGATATTAGTAATGTTTTAGTAATAATATAGTAAGATCACATGTACAAAACACTCCATTAAAAAGGATAGAATGTGTAGCTTCCTCTCCATCGTCCTGAGGCAGATTACAGACATTTGGATCATTTTGACGAGCTAAACTCAGCTTCATACTTCTCAGGTTCAACTCAAATGTTGCTTAATACTGTAAAGCTGTTACTTTTGAACATAGATTCATACTTAGGGTAAACATTATATGTCTATTGTTGTGGAATATTTTCCAAGGCCCATAACTTTGACCCAGTGTATCAGTTCAAACTGTCCTGACTGAGCACAGGCACCTGTAACCTTGGCTGCTGTGCTCTCAGTGTTTTGTCTCCCTGTTCCTGCCTGTTGGCGTCAGCTGATAGAGGTGTTATCATTCTATCTTGTTATGCAGCATGTTGATGATGCTCTCTGAACTAGCTAAATACTGGGGTAGAGTTCTTCAGAATTGACGTGGCAACTCTACCGTGAAGTCAGAACCTCTGACTCTTGGACTTGTGATGTGAATCCTCCGGCCGTTAACTCCAAATAAACCATCATGTGTTTGACATCAAAGCTACTGCTCCTACTGTGTCTCCTTCCTGAGTCGGTGACTCCCACTGCATAGCTACACAGAAGTTTCCTCTACATCTATAATTCTTCCGAGTATAAACAAACGTACATATGAGCTAGAGTGGGGCCTCTGACAAAATTGTGAGAAATGTAGAGGACCCGTTTGCTGTTTTGAGTGAACCAAACGAAGCTTCTGATGCCAGAGATACGACAATGGACAATCCGAACACACCATGCCAAGGATCCCAGTACAATGAGGCTATTGTGTGAAAAACAAAAACATCTTCCCGAATTCTTATTTTGCATAAGTAGAAATAACACTTTTCTTGATGCAAAATGCCCCCAAAAAAGATCAGGATCAACATTAGCTAATCCTTAACACCGGTCATGCATTTCAACATCAAATCTAAATTTTGAACAAAAAAATGGAGTGGGCCAGTCCTTCAAAAGGCGGTAAATATTTCCCTCTCTTCTGAGGGAGGACTCCCAGTGCAGAAGCACCAGTAAATGGACTGATCCAATTGTCCACTTAGTATGTAATAGCTGCAGCGAGTAGCCTAGAGAACCCCATTGTTTAAACGTAACTAATGTTCTTTCCTACTCTGCCAAATCAGCACCAAAGGGCGATGTATTAAAAAACAAGCTTCAATTTGTAAGGTTGTGCTCCTGCATGGCTCTTGTAAAAAGGTGTCATGATTATTTTATTGTAAATAAATAATCAATAACATCAGTTGTAAACTGGATATTTTCCAACCCAGTGTTCTGAAGTTGATAAAGTAAACTAGCAGGGTCCTTTCCTACTGCCCCATATAACCAAACCTAATGACATCTTATCAAAAATAATCCAACAACAAAGTAAAGCCCGAGGGAAAACAATGTAGCAACGTTTAACAAAATAGTTCCAGACATGGTTAAACTGTAGGGGCCTTTCAAATCACAAAAGTAATTGATGATACATTTCCAGATTGGAAAGCTGTCTTTTTCATAATCATTTGCAAATATTGTAAGGAACTGCTGGTGTTTCACCAAAGGTCAAGAGACATAATGATGTCCTGAATTACTCAGTTGTTTTGAAAAGATTCTGTCGGTGCTTGCTTAGACATAATGAGAAATATACTATCACTGCACTATCAAAAAAACCTGTCTTGTGTATTTTGTTCTGGGCTCACTTGCTTGACTGAAGGTCCATCCTCAGATGTTAAATTCAACTTACATTGTTGACTTTGTGCTTTGCAATACTGAAATTGCTCCCACAAAAGCTTTACTAAACAACAATCCATCAAGCTCTCGCCGCTCTCAAAGTAACTTCACACATCACTCGAAACGGAAAAAATATGGTATCTTCAGAAAATATCCTCGGTGGTGCCCATTAACTGGCGTGGGGTTTGACAGGAGCTTCAGAGCGACCCTCCATGGCGCCATTTCCAAGGGCCGGCTTGTTTCCAAAGTTCCAGTCCACAGGGTTGAGCAGCTGCATGGTCTTCTTGTGTGTCCAGATGGGGTTGAGGACGCACGTGAGCAGAGCGAGGCCGATGAAGAAGAGGAGGAGTAAGGGCGTGGCCATATGGGTTCTGAGGTCGCTCCAGTGGGTAAAAGTTACCCACCACATGTGGTATGTGAGCACCATGCGACAGTGGAAAGTGTGGATCATCACCCACTGGTTGGCTCTCCAAAGCAGGGTGCGAGCCCAGCCAGCCTATCAGGGAAGAGAGACAATTATATTAACAACATTGTAACTTCCGTTTACTGAAATCCGATCTGTGAGTAGGAGGAACAGAGAAAGGTAAGGTAGTGGCTCAATCTTTTTTTAGTAGAACTTCCTCTTTCTAAGAATTTGGACTTTTATCGGTTGATCTGAAACCTTGTGAGACTTCCTGTGTTAGTTGAGAAGAATCTATGAGAGCATGTCTATGTTAATTATTGTCCATATCCCTGCTGATTATACTAACTTCAATGTGCCTCATGTTGCAAATGAGTCACAGGGTTTCCATCACGGGCGATCGCAGACGACAAATACCTGTGACTAGTCATTTGTCCAGAGAATTAATGCCAATTGTCCGTTATACATAATATAGAATCAGTAATATTTTTGTATATCAATTAGACACCGATTAATTTTGTATAATAATTCTCACGTAACATTTTTGTATTATTGTTTTACACATTCAAAATAAATCAAATCAAAATTGTAACCTTTCCCCACCAGATATTAGTGGGTTTTTCATACAGTGAGAAAAGGGTTTAACAACTAGAGCCCATTGAACCAAACAATCATTTGGTTAATGCAATTTTTCTAAAATGAGATGAGGGAAGGATGCCATGTATGGAGCAAAGTAGCTACAGTAAGTCTTGCAGAACCCAATACACCAGCAGGTCCCTACCTTCAGTAACATCCAGGATATACATGTGAAAGGCGTGCTCATCTCCAGCAGCAGTGTAACCATCGGCAGGAAGTGGCCCACTGAATCACACACTACCGCTCCTGCGTACCCTGACAGGGCAAATAAGTGGTGTGTCGCCAGTGGCAGATCAAATGACCGAAACGCCACACTGGAAGCATGAAGAGCTATATTCTCAAACACAAAGAAGCCTGTGGCTGTGAGGACGTTGAACCAGGACCAGTCTTCCTGTCCTCTCACTTTGTCTCTGGTTAATGCTGAGTCCTCAGTCAGGCACCTGAGACCCACTACAGTGCTCTGGATGCCAAAGGCTCCCCGAGTTGCAGCCAGGTTCCAGAAGACCTTCTCCTTAGCTATCAGGGACTTGTAGGTGCTGGAAAAGGCCACAGACAGGAGGTGGGAGAGGAGGAATATCCCTGCATAGAAGCCAAAGCCTAGGCCAATAAGGTGAAGGCGGTAGTCCCAAGAGAAGTACTCTGTACTGGGATGGGGGAGAGGGCTGGGCTGTTGGTCACGATCCATGATGTTTGAGGGAGGGGCTCAGCTGAAGGTGAGGCTGGTAGGTGCATGATATGTGGGTCACCTGCATGACAACAGAGAACACACATTAAATACATTACTATAGCTAGAAACAGACGACAGAGGCTCCATTTAGTAACACGACTGTGTAAATGTTTCATATAAAACGACTTTGTTCAGCTTTAATGAACCTTAAACAGTTGTGAGAGAACTTTGTCTGCACTCGGTAATAACTACACAACCAATTCGACACCAACTACAATGTATCGCTTTATTAGTTTAACGCTAGACCAAACTTTAAGTCCCTTTAAAACATGAGGAGTCAGTCAGTTTTAACCCCAACATACAGTTACCGTGTTGTGAAGTTAGCACACAAACACGACGAGTAAAACGTGTGACTTAGTTGGTTTAAAGCAAACGAAATACTAATATGGCCAAAGCAGTCATTGTTACTCACCACACACTAGTCAGCGGACATCATCCAGAACATATTCAGCAGAGGAGTTCCCACTGAACACGGTGTCCCGGTGCTTTGTCTGTTCGTGCAGTTTCCACAATACACATCACGATCATACCACTTCAATTTGGTCATATGACTTGCAAACAGGAAGGGACGCCCACTTTAAACATCCGGACATCCCATTGGTCAATACATATCTTCAGGGAGAACCCCATCCTATTGGTTATCTCCTGACTCGAATTGTGTCTATGAAGTGTGGTTTGTCTCTGTTATAAAACCAAACATTGCATAGTTACACATTACCAATGCTCAGGAAATAGTCCTACACAAAGTTAATAGCAAAGATAGATTAAAAAAAATCTGATTATATACAGTCACATTTTTCAATAAATATGTAGGGGGTACTTATTTAAAATGATTATCATTTGATATTTCTGACCTTCATGTGCAGGAAATGGTGAAGCTTTTGTTCTCATATGCACTGAGCAGGAATCAATGTGCACATTTGGCATGTTGCCATAGTGATAACACACATTCACACATACAGATAACCACAGAACTGATGGAGGAAACCCACAGGGACACAACATGCATATGCACATACAAAGGAGCTGGGTGAAAACAGGACCCTGTTGTGATGTGCTCCAGCTCCACCACTCAAACACCATCAGAAAAAAGTTCGTGACCTTACTAGGCTACTGATTTGCTCTCAGTCAGTTATCTGAGACAGTATCTGTAATGTTTATGTGATCGGCAGTGGCTCAGTCAGTATAGGGGATTGGACTGTGAGCCATAGGACGCCGGTTCAAGTCCCCGACCAGACCTAAATATGGAGTGTGGACTGCTACTTGGAGAGGTCCCAGTTCACCTCCTGCCCTGCCGTGGTGCCCTTGAGCAAGGCACCGGACAACCCCCTTCCCTCACTCCCATTGCTCCCCGGGCGCTGTGCAATAGCTGCCCACTGCTCCTAGTACTAGACTCCTGGTACTAGGATGGGTTAAATGCAGAGGCCAAATTTCACTGTGTGTGCTGTGTGCTGTGTGCTGTGTGCATGTGTGATCATTAAAGAGGGTTTCATCCCTGTTATGGAAATAATTGTCATAGACGCCAAGATGTGACATACAGGACAAACCTTGATGTCTGTTTACCTCCTTTAAGGACACAGGCTGCTTAGCCAATAATGTTATTGTTCCCATTCTGTGACCGGTCAATACTGGGTCACAGATGGTCTGTGTTGTGGGTACACTGGGACACTTCCTTCTCTGTATTTGTGGACTCCAAGGTGTGAAATCTTCGAGGTCATAAGTGTCCGACGCAAGTAACTCAGTGTTCCCACACTGTTTAGGCTATCTTCTCAAATATGTTGTTTACTCTCTGCGAAACCAGTTAGATGGGCTGGCAAGAGAGAGGCTCTCCAGAATTGACGTGGCAACTCTACCGTGAAGTCAGAACCTCTGACTCTTGGACTTGTGATGTGAATCCTCCGGCCGTTAACTCCAAATAAACCACCAGTGTTTGACATCAAAGCTACTGCTCCTACCGTGTCTCCTTCCTGAGTCGGTGACTCCCACTGCATAGCTACACAGAAGTTTCCTCTACAATCCCTCCCAATATTATTATTATTATTATCTTCTTCCCACTGAGGGTTTCATCCCTCCCAATATTATTATTATTATTATTATCTTCTTCCCACTGAAAAAGGTTGAGGTTTTTTAGCCATGCCTCCCACAACTGTTAGGAAATGTTGATAAGGTTCCCCAACCAGGGCCTCAATCCCTGGAAAATCTATTAACCGTAACTATCAAAGACATCACTTCTTGCTATGGGGGCAGGCCTTCCTACAAGGCAGCACTTATTACACTTTATGTATCAGTAAAAAGTAATAAAAGGAAGAAATAGTAATAAAAAGTAAAAACAAACATCTGTAAATTGATCAACCCATGCATTTCTCTCTTTGTCCAACAGGGGGTATTCTTGCCTTGTATTTGAGACTGAGAGAAGGATGAGTTCTATCTAATGTTTGAATGGAAATGCCCTAACCCTATTAATGAATGACTGACTGATTGCTAATCTACTTTTATGACATCTCCAATAAGATCAAAACAGGAAGATTCGTTATTGTTGTTAAATGATTTGCATCTTCCTGCTAGATATACGGAATAGGAGAAATGACAGCTCGACAAAGACATGTGGGTGAACAAATGCAATCATTTGTCTGATTCACCAATAATGCAATGTTGTTCTTGTCAGCTAAGCATGGATGCAACATATTGAGAAGGACTATTCACATCCAACTTGTCTAATTTTATATTTGTCGGATTTGATTTGATGGTGTCTTGAGTGATATTATATTTTATTCATGCCTTAATTATACTTTTCAGTGCCTTGACAATATGAAATAAAACCTTTGTGTTTCATTCATTCATTTTTTCACTAATTGTTATATGTTTTACTCGTATTGGCAGAGCAGTAAACAGGCACCACACAGACAAACTTTTTTTCAAACTTTTTCTTCAAAAAATTTAATTGCAGTATTATTTACACTGGATGACCTCAGCAATGACCAAACTACTCAAAGAGGCAAAAATCTTTCAATAGCTCAGCTAGGTAAGAACGGAGGAAAAGGATGCATTTGTTGTTGCAAACTACTTAAATAATACAAAAATAACCCAATGATACATTAACTTGCACTGAAGTAACTCACATTTAAAAATGCACATGTGATTGACTTAAATAAATACATAACATATCAGTGGGACAGTGTTGTAATTTCAAACGAAAGAAAAGCCTACATTCAGAATCAGTATTTCGCATGCCATCATATCAGCTTGTAAAAAAAAAATAAAAAAAAACGACAACAAAACATGAGCAAATGCAGAAAATAGTAATGTTTCAATGAAGCATATATTATATATTTATATATATCTATATATATTTCTTTACAAATAATGAATATTTGGCATTATATTCATCTTAACTATAGATATGATATACAAGAGATGAAAATAGTTTTAGCTAAACGACTACCTTTTTAATTTGTATCTAGTAATTATAGAGTTTCACATTCCAAGTTCAAGGAAGTGTTGTATCAGTCAGTGAGTCCGACACTTCTTTCAACAGCATGGTTACGAAAAAAGTTCCCTTGAAATATTTCACATCACGGGTTCAAGATTTAAAAGCAGACAGTAGACAGTCGCACCATAAGTGGAGCCACAGATGAAATGATAGAAATATGCGGTTGGAAATAGGAAAATGTGGGCGATGGCAGAAAATGTTTTGCTTACTTATAATTCGATGGATGATAATGTGGCTGTGTAGAGTAACAATTTTACAGTATGCTGGATAAGTAAAAAAAGATGGCACTTGTAGTTATTTGCTGCCCTCATGATTAAATGTGACACTTTTCTGCCCTTGGGGTTTTCACATTTTTGTGATTTTGGTGGAGCTGTTAAATTACCATCATCTCACCACAGTCACGATGAAATCCTCTAATGCTCACAGTATCACATGCGCACCACACAAGCATACATAAAACACCAACTTTAGTACGTTTCAAGGAAATCCAAGATCACTTTGTTATGGGAGTCCTTTTTAGCTGTGCATGTGTGTTCATATCTACTTGAATGAAGTGTGAGGAAGTTCAAATCTTTTCATAGATGAAAAAGTTAACTGTGAGACAAACTTGACCCAGCCATTATAGCTGGGAGAGTTTGTTAGAAAAAGGCTTGGAGGGAGTCTCAGGGGTACCAAGGTAATATTTTCTTTTCCACAAAGGGAAGGTCCTTAAACTAACTTAACAGCTCTTACCTACACTGTTCAACATTCTTCGCTCCCCCTTGACTACTGGAACTGAGTTATGTTAATTATGTGGATGACTCTTCAACTAAACCAAGTTTTTCCTCACAGCCCTGATCAAGTTGCATACAGGAGAAACTTCCTGTTATACTTGTAGTGCTGATGCTTAAGTTCTACAGTACAGGCCACTATTCAGCAATACATTTATCAACACAAGCTTTAAAGGGCCTCAGAGGCTGCTTGCTTGATCTCGCCAAGGACCCGAAAATATTACATAAGCTGCTTTGCTTAGTCAAAGGCAGGCGAAAAAAATTCCCGGCACAGCGCCTATGTGATCGTCACAGAACAGCCTTCCAGCTACACAACAGCAGCAGTTTGGGGCTCAGCACGGCACTCTCGTCTCCTCTAAGCCAGCATATGTCAGGCCGTGTCTGTCTCTCGGCCGTCTGCCTGCCACTGTGGCAACAGCAGGGGAACGTCTCTGCTCTGCCAACTGCCTGGCATCACATACCCCGACGCTTTCCAGAAACACACTGTCATATTGTTAAAGGTCCCTGCCTCTGCAATGAAAAAAACCCAACAGACTTAAGGATGGGTGTGCTTTAAAAGAAATGTGTAATCTAGAGATGGGCTTCTAAAAGCCACATCTTTAATTGAAGTAGTGCACTACATATTTGAAATACTATCTCTGACTTTGGTTACTTGGTGGTGATTTGTTGGACTGAGTATACTTGTTGGCTCTCTGAAATGTATTGTCTGAGCTCTGCTACAAGAATTTATATTTAAACGATGTCTCACGCATCATGATATGGTGAATGTAAGTAAAACACACTGAGAGCCTGAATTCTCACACAGTGAGTCCTGCATATGATCAAAACATCGGAATGTATTTGATAAATAAATACAATTTGTGGCACACAAAAAAAAGTTATTATAATGTATGGTTCAGTAACCAAAATATGTTTCAGGAGAAAGCGTATGGTTTAGAGGGGTGTGTGTGTTAGTGTCTGTAAGAGAGATGTATAGGTCAGGCCACAGTTGGGTAGTAATGGAAATTAAGCCACGTTGACCCCTGATTTAACCTCTCTTCTCTGAATGTCAGCACTGTGCTACAAAAACAAGATTCACACACAAATAAATCAACAAAACATGTATGCATTAAAATATATATATTGAGAGAAATGTACTTTGTGTCACTGATAAATCTCCCGAGTCACATCCCATAACGAACGATGGCACACTTGCTCAACCAAAATGTAATGTATTGATCAGCTGATTGTTTTTCTAGTACTGTATTTATTGAATAAAGAGCAGTAGCATTTAGTTTGTTGATTATCCAATGTTTAACCCAATTTTACCAAGAGATGCCAGTTTTTAGGCCAGTGATTTGAATACTGCACATTCACTGCATTAGCAAGGTGAAATTGGCAACGTGATTGAGACTGATATTCTGTCACCAAAAATGAATAATAAAGTGCAGAATTTTTGCATCTGTCTTAAGATGAATTTACCTTTGGGTGAAATACTTAAAACTGCCTAGAAGTCAATTCTACCAATATAACCAATACAGACTCCGGTCTAAAGGCCCATAACTTCAGGTTTCCACTTTTACATTACGTATCATGACTAGATAGCACCAGTTATTCGTATATCCATTGCTAAATGTGTGTATGTCAACCCTTGCTAAATTCTTATTAACAACTGGCTTAATTGAAATTGGTGATTTACTAAATGGCACCATACAAACTGTCAAAAAGGTCTAAGCTAGTAAGCATTCAGTATTTAAAATAGAAATGTGTTTCCGAGTTAGCAGTATTTGCTGGCTGGCAATATCTGACTATGCTAAGTATCAATTTAGCCAACAAGTTATGCTAACAATAATTATTAGCCGGCACGTTATTAGCATACGATTATTAAATGTGAGATGTGTTGTGTTATTTCTATGACCTTAAAAATGTTAACATTTTACCTTATTGATAAAAGACATTGAAGACATTTGATATTAAGTATTTAACTACTCAAGCTCAATGTGTCATACTGTATGTTACCAAGCTAAAATGTGCTTGCCATTTGGTTCAGCTAGCTAGGTTGGGCTAGTTATACGAGCCAGTTAGTATATGCAAGTAGTTTGTGTGTAACTAATTACAAACAAGATTTGTTTGTGAAGTCAACTTGTTTTAATATAATGTGGAAACCTTCACTTAGCCCTGTGTGTAGGCTAAGGTTGAACATAAGAGGAGCTGGAGCAATTGACTATGATCTCAAAACTACTGTATGATGGGATTCAAAGTCAAATGTATCAAACTAATCCATCATATTGTGACACAACATCCCACACTGGTCTGCACAGCCACAGACAATATCTTATTCCTTATGTGTTTCAACAAACTTGTGATGTTTAAGTTATTCGAGACTTGCTGCTCGCATCATTTTAGCTTCATTCATTTCCAACCTTGCCCGGTGAATGCAGTTATGATAGTTCTTCAGGGGACTTTTATCTACACAGAAGCTTTCAAGGAATATGAAGATTACAAATCACTTATTGGGTGACTGAAACTCATAAGCAGATATTTTGTTTAGGTTTTGGCAGTTTTCCTATCACTCCTGATGAACTGTGGCTGAGACTTGAAAGAGCCTGAGAGAGGTTTATTAGATGAAAATACAGCAGTTTTGTTTTTTGTTCAAGTGATTGATATTTGCAACAAATCTAGACTTGTCAAAAGCAATAGAGAGACAAGAAGTGAACATGAGAACAAAATAAAATAAAAGATGAATATTCTTCCCGCTCACAATTCAAAAATACAACAGTACTATTGTGAATGTGGGTATGTACATTTCCCTTGGAAATAGAGAGAATTGTAATAAGTGCATAAGTGCATTTGTCTACACATTTTGATCTAAGGAGTTACACAAACCTTCATAGTTTTTTTTCTACTGCATCGACAGAATGAAAATGTTGGCACAAGACTTGCATGTTTTCAGCTTCAAGTAAATGTCGATATTAGAAAGTTGGCAATGAGATATATAGGAACGTTTTTTGAGATGTGCATGTTGATGAGCTGACAGATGTAGTCCTTCCACCAATCCAGACCGAGAAAAAACGTTTGACCACAACCAGATTGAGTAGAAAGCTGCATTTTTCAACACTGACCAGTCCAGAGCTTATAAGGGCTGCCTGAATAACCTTGAGTGGGTGATCAGTGCCACATGCACGTAGTTGAGGTATTTCAAGCATTGGCACTTTTCAAAGTGTTTGAACTTACAACAATTTTGTGATATCTAGCTTGTAATTAACATTTACCCCCCAAAAAAGACCAGAGAAACAAAACAAAACAAAAATTATTGAAAAATACTGAAGGGTTAACTCACTTTGACAATTTTTGAACTTTAAATAAATTATAGTTTCTCTCATTTACTCGTTTTAGCTCAAAGGCCTGGTTGCTGGTAGGTTTTCAAAGCTGCACTTTTTAAATGGCACTTTGCAAAATGCTGAAAAACTACAGCCTTACCCATCCAGGACATTGGATGAGAGAGTGTGTAGGCTGGGGATCACAACGCCCAGCAAACCAAGGAGAAACCCAACCAACCCATGTCAGACATACATTTCTGCTAACACTTATCCTGGCAATGGGAGAAGAGGCTCGGCACATCCTACAGACCAATGGGGTTGGCGATGGGCTCTGAGGATGGCTATTGAGATCAGACAACAGATGAAGAAAGGAAGAGTAGAGAGAGTAGCAGTCTAGAAAAAAGGCTAGTTTTAAAGTTGTTTGAACGTGGGCGCAGGGAGACGTGTCGACCCTGGACCCCGCCTCTTTAAAGTCTAGTCTGAGCCTCGGGAATATAGATCTCGATGCTGTCTGCTCGCTCCGAGGCTGAGTTCTGCCGGAAGGAGGCCGCGCGCTTGCATGCCATGAGCCGCCGCCGGGCCTCCTGCCGTCCCCGGTCCGGGAGGTCCAGGGATTTCTCCCGTGTCACCAAACTCCTCTGTCGAATTGTCTTCTTTGGTACAGGAGCCGGTGGCTTTAGGAAGAACAGAGGATGATTAAGGGGGACAGCAGTGATCAAAAAACACCAACAAACCCAAGTGTTGAACATTTGTATGCAGCCCTGTTGGCATGTTTTGATCTGATCACAAACAAATGTGACATGTAAGGTTGCCAACTGTCTCAAAAGCCTGGAAAAGAAGGCATAATTATGTATTTATTTAATAATTCCTGTTACACATGGTTAACATTCTGTCAGTGATTTATCCATTTTGTTGTATTCAATGATGATTTGAAGATTGGATTTTGAAAAATGCTTTTGTTGGATTTGTTTTGTTATTTGGACTCTGGTTTTCATGATTTGCTTTTAACCCAAGGCTGCTTGGGAATAGTTAAATTGAAGTCCCAATAATAGTCATTTTTTTCACATACAGTAGACAAAGAATTGGACACTTTGGAAGTCCTTTAGAAACACATTTGTGCTTAGGGAGTATTTAAAGAGTGTGGCTGAAAAGGAAGCAGCAACAATCTTCCATAAAAGTATTTCTGGTTTTGCAAATAAAAATAAGAAAATGTAGATATTTAATATGCATAGAAAATATAAAAGGTTGTATTGATACGAAGGTCAACAGATTTAAAGTAGTCATTGACTTGTACATGTGTGGTGTGGATAGATAGAGTTGATAAAAAAGCAAAAAGTCTTGCTTACATACCCACTTGCTTAGTGACCCACCCTTTTTCTACCCTTCTCCCTGCTTATAATTTGTTGTATAGTCCCTAATCTAACATTTTCAATCAAGTTCATCTTAATTAAAGAAGGATCAGGGCCTAGCTCTTTCTTATTTTTCAGTTTTTTATGCTGCTATCGGGTGTGATTGAATCAGTAATGAAATACTTGGTACATACGGCTTGTTTGGGTTCAGTGTAGGGGGGATCCCTCACCTTCTTCTCCGGGCTCTCTAAGACCCTCCAGTTGTTGTTCTTGATCTGCTGCAGCTGGTCAAACTTCATGGTGACGTCGTCGATGGAGAGCTGCAGGAGGTCCCAGAACCCGGCCAGGTCCTGAGAGGTGGGCCGCGGCATCGCACTGGGGTCCTACAAGGGAAGGAAGTGGGGAGAGATCCAACAAAGGCAACATTATTGTCGATTAAAGAAGTTAAGAGCCAGATTGTTGGTTCAGTGCCTACGGTCCAGATTATAAGCAATGGTGTGCTTCAACATCCAGTCACTGCACTTCAGTTTAGATCCACTAGATGTCCTTATCACTCATTGTTGTGGAAATATTTTCCAAGGCCCATAACTTTGACCCAGTGTATCAGTTCAAACTGTCCTGACTGAGCACAGGCACCTGTAACCTTGGCTGCTGTGCTCTCAGTGTTTTGTCTCCCTGTTCCTGCCTGTTGGCGTCAGCTGATAGAGGTGTTATCATTCTATCTTGTTATGCAGCATGTTGATGATGCTCTCTGAACTAGCTAAATACATGGGTCTGGGGTAGAGTTCTTCAGAATTGACGTGGCAACTCTACCGTGAAGTCAGAACCTCTGACTCTTGGACTTGTGATGTGAATCCTCCGGCCGTTAACTCCAAATAAACCATCATGTGTTTGACATCAAAGCTACTGCTCTTCCCGTGTCTCCTTCCTGAGTCGGTGACTCCCACTGCATAGCTACACAGAAGTTTCCTCTACACTCATCAAACAGGCATGAATGCCAGTTTTAGGGATTATAGTAAAAATGAGGGATCACAACTTGTGAAAGAGTCCAGTCCGTTTTTATATTTGCATGATTGAGATCAGAAATAATAAAAAGCCTTTGTTAGTTCAGTCCATTTCCTCCCTCAACAATATATTGAGTGTTGCCTCATTGTGTCTATAATAAACATAGGAATGCAATCAGCTGATGTTGAGTGAGACGTGTTACCAGAGAGACTAAACCCACCTGTGGTACTAGTTGCTTTATGCACTCTCAAGGTAAAAAATAAAACAGCAGAAAACAGAAATACGTGTGATTTGAGGTGTGATTAAGGGCTTTCCCGCAAAATGTTCAAAGCATTTTACATTTATGCAGAAAAGATCTTACATGTATGCAGAAAACTTTGTCTGTGATTCACGTTTTGTTGAAAAACGAATTTGTTACTAAACATTTAATATTAAAATGGTGCAGATATCCAAATAAAATGCTACATTTCAATGGGAAACGGGTGCTCTCCTCAAAGCGTGGACTAATCTGAAGCTTTATGTATGATTTATGGACATCTAAGAGGCAAAATTGACATATGAATATGCGCAGTTTTTCCATACAAAGCTGTTTTTAGATAAACGTTAATAAAACCTTAATTAAGACCTCTGGGTTGGCTTCAGTCCGCTGAGTGTTTGTTCATTTACCCGATCTTTTCCTATGCACCTACTGTTTGTGGTTCATGCACACAAAGCTTTAATTATAGCGTAATCATACTTGAAATGTACTTCAAAACGTTTTTGTGATTTAGAAATGAATTGTAATAACAGCTAAATGGCATATTTATAAATCCATGTTTGCTATGGGGGGTAGAGTTGTATAATAGTGTTTGGAAGTTGTGCGTTATAGTTTATAGTTTCTCCCAGTCCATCTGGAGCCAGCAGAATCTGCACCTCCAGCTGTGATGTGACGTGTCGATCACCTCGGAGACATTTCCCACGCTCACAAATCTCATGACATTTAGATTAGGTGGCTGCTTTCATATATATATATTTATCCTTTGGTATCAACTGGTTCTTTCTGCATCACAATGTGTCATCAGCTCCTTCTGCACTAGCATACCACTAAGGAGAAATACATGAGGGAGATGCAAGCAAGACCCTCCCATAATAGTGATTAATATAGAACTCAAATATTCATGATCCTGAAAAAACCAAATGTACTGGCAGACCTTTAATTCATCTTTATCCCTTAATAAACCATTAAATCAGATCATCTTAGCAAATGGATGCATATGCATATTACACTGTGTGAGTGATATTAAAGTATACAGTAACCTCATTTTACTTTCTCATAAGGCCTGATTCAAATCCTCTAAAGTTGCTAAATGTTCCCATAGAGAGCCACAGTTTTACTTTGATACTGCTTACGCATTATGGGATTAGTATAATTCTCCTTTCTTCAGCAAATACCTAATCAAAAGTACTCCATATTTGAAATATCAGAGTGTCCATCATGTAAGGTAAGCTGGGAACAGAATGCATTTCTGTTATCTGTAATTACCGAGGGAGAGCCTCAGCACTTCATCAGCTTTATTCTGACCCCTGACCCTATGATGGTCTGCAAACTGTCTCAGAAGTGTTCAGATATACACAGCTGGCAGGTTCAGGAGGAGTCGGTGAGTTCTAAGCCCTGGCTGTGACGGTGTGTGTGTGTTTAATCCTGGAGAAACACACTGTTTGTCTCGCGTTTAGAGCATTTTTCAATCAAGCTTAATAAAAGTGTATCCAGGTTTAGAGAAATTAGACCTCTCTTTAAGCTTTGTGGGCACTTATTTAACAGACAAAGCCATAGCATGAAGTTAATACTGTATGTGCATTTGTCGTGTGGAGAAATGCTCCATCTTTCACTGTGTGCGAATGGGGTAAACATTTGTTCCTGAATATATACAATCATGTAATTTCCCCACATTAACACAACTATCTTTTGCAATACAAGTTGTCTGAAATGTTGTGTTTAGCTATGTGCTAATTGCATACATTTCAGAAAACATAAATCTGAACATTGGAAAAAGCCAGGTTCAAACTTCTACTTTTATGTAATTTTTGCATAAGAGTTCAAGGAAAGCGCTCTATTAATTACTCTTTGATAATATATATAAAATAACTGTGCATATAGGAGCTACTGAAGTGGAGATTTGTTTAGAAAAAACAACCTTTCAAGCTATGTATTGTATTATTTCAAACATTTTGTAAGACACTACAGGGGACTAGGGTTAAAAAACAGTACTGATAGATATCACCCTAAAACTTCCCCAGTTGTTCACTTACATTACAACTATTTATCACCCCGAAAAGTGATGTGCAACAAATAGATATCATGCTTGGGGACTTATATATCTGGACACATACAGCAAATAGACAAAGTTAGTCAAATAAACTCCTAAAAATGTAAGACAAAAAAGCTTAGACCCTAGAAGTCGACCAATCGAAACACAATGTTTTGCCTTTAGTGTCTCACGTTCAGTGGGACAAAGCACCTAGCTGAGTCTAAAAGGCCGGTTCACTGCATCAAATCCCGGAGCAGTTCGCCCTCTCCTGAATGAGCCATTTCTGCTGCACATTGCAAAACAGGCAATCTTACATCTTTCACAACTCCGCACCAACTTTGTATGACATATTGTGTTCCTGCTCAGATCAATAAAACGAGTTGTGAACAGTGCAAGTAAAACATGAGGCAGAAATCTGTGTGTGTTCCTGCTCAGGATGATCAATAGAGCGGCCGATGTTTGGATGTTTAGGTCCATTTAAACTCAAATGTCTGTCCTTCTCTCTGAGGACAAAGCTGCCTTCAAAAACACACCTGTCCATACGTAACATTCAGGTCACTATACATGTGTTAAATGGCTATTGATTCTCAGTGTTGTAGCTTTCCACAATCAATGATGTTCAGGGAGTATTAGAGCACACTGAAAGTCTGAGAACAAATACAGAGGAAGGAGTGTAGAACTGTTTCTAATTATACAAGTTAATTTCACACTGTTTGTGGACTGTTATGCTTTGTTCACTCTTCAGCGGTGTCAGACACATTTTCCGTACTCACTTCAAATTCAGATTTGATGTTTTCTGATGTTTGCAAATACAGAAAAACGGCTAATGGAGTCTCATTATTTGAATTCTGATCCGGAGCTGACAAATGGCGTAGAAAACTGGATTTGACCTACATGTGACATTAATGCTAAAAAATGAAGTTTTTATGTGTGGCCATGAAAATAACTAAATCTGACTTTTCTACTATGACTGGGAAGTGGTTCATAGATTGTATTATGAAAAAGAAAAGTGGTTTGATAATGAAAGTGGCAGCTGGTTCCTTTCTCCCACATTTACTCCCTTTAAGCATTTTTCCAACTTTTCATTTGTATTATTATATATTATTATATATCTTGATAAAAATCAGATTTTATTTGTTACTTATTTTATAAATATACATATGTTTCTATAAATATTATACATCATTATTATTCATATTTTGTTCTCTTCCCTTACACACATAAGTCACACTAAGATGTTAATATTCAACTTATTTTTACAAATATTTTAATCAATGTTTGTTGCGTCTGTAAAGTTACTACTGTTGTTTCTAGTTTTAACAATAACAAAGCACAAATTAATCTGCAATAACTTAAGAGTCTTAAAACTACTAGCATGAAGAACAACACAGATATAGGAAGAAAAACAGTACTAATAAATCTTAGAACACACACACAGTCTCTCTTTGATGGGTTTCTTACCAGGTTTTGCTGACACAGCCAGTAGAACTGCTGGAATTTCTGAGACATGAGCAGCTGAGCGCTTCCCACCGCACTTCGGATTTTGCCTAGGACTTAAACACACAAACAAAAAAATCCATCTTTCCATCATCCTTCACAAGAGAAGCCCTAAATCCGACATATGTGAAGCTTTCAGGTAACACTCACTCTCCTCCGTCAGGTCGTTCTCCTCAGCCTCGGCCTCCATCTCCTTACACCAGCCCTCGATCCTCTTGGTCTCTGTGTGCAGCAGCTGCATGAACCAGCTCCCGTCCCTCCTCAGGGAGGGGGGCGCCCTGCCAGACTCGCCCGGTGAAGCCGCGCTCTCCCTTGGGGAGGGGGGCTCCAGCTGCCAGGGAGCCTCGCTGGTGGTCTCCCTGGGGCTGGCGGGTTCAGCGGGGGTACGGTAATCTTCGCGGTAGCTGAAGAGCCCCTGGGTACGTACAGTCCGTACCGCCCCGCACTGGCTGGGCGTGTTGGGCTCTGAGTGTCGCTGGAAGCCCCCACCGAACTGCAGACCCTTGTCCTCCATGGTGGGGAAGCCCTCCAGCTCCATGTCGGCCTGCACACCAGCAGTCACACTGTTGGAGCGCTTGAACCTGCCCTGTCTGAGGTAGAAAGACGAAGATGTATGCACACAGACATTTACACACCGGCCAAATTGGCAAATAATGGCTGAGAGCAAACATTGAGTTCCTCTGATGAGCTTCAAGTCCCAGAACTATTATCTCACCCTTTCTTATTGTCCTCCACCTGGATCCCAACGGAGTGGTACTCCCGCAAACCTTTGCTTTCAGATTCAGAGTCCGTGGCTGCTTCCACCTAATGTGAAGAAATGATACAAACCAACAGTGCTTCTCATTACGTGTGCTTCCATTCTCCAGTGCTTCTGGGCTTATTGGTGTGGGACTGGATGGAGCACCTGAACTGTACACGGCCTGTCAGAAAGTAAACACTGTATGGTTTATGGAGGCAGCAAAGGCAACGTGACTAAGAGGTTTCCTGCAGAGAATTTGAGGTTTCTACAGAAGTGAATTAAAAAAAACGAGATAAAAGGGGAACTGCTAGGTGTTATATTGCACACTATACAGTATAATATCTCAAAAATATCATTTAAAGGTGACCTATCATGCAAAATGCACTTTTGTACGTATTTTATACATGAATATGTGTCCCCGGTGTGTCAGGGAACTCACCAAGTGTCAGAAAACACAACCCTCTCTCTTTTCCTCCATACCCAAATCTCTAAAAACGGGGCTGCAACGGATCTGATACAGACTGATACAGATTTGAAATATCTCTGACGTCAGAAACAAGCTCTGCCTATATGGGCAACTCTCCACCTATCAGGGGAATGGGGGGTTGGGCCACGAACGTGTCCGTTCGAGACCGCTCGAAAGTGCTGGAGACGCTGTAGTACATATGCCAGGCCTGTAAGTGGCGCTGTAGTTACAGAATCAGCCCTTGCAAAAACAGTACTGGAATAGAGCAAATAGAGCGAAATGAGGCATGGCTAAAATGCATGATCTGTTTGGTATTTTGAAAAAAAAACTTCAGACATGTTTTGTATAGGTATGGCCCTACAATATATTATTCAAATATAGCATGATAGGTCCACTTTAAGTCCTAATTGTTCACAGTTGACTGACATTTGTAGAAATATTATATTATAGTGCTACAGTGCTGTGTTGAAAGTGATAACCTGAGGGCTTCACATGCATGATGTTACAAGTTAAGGTCATATGATTTTACACATCAAATATACAGAATACGGTACTTGTAGGAAAAAGGAACGTATTGAATATTTTTCTGTGCAATACATTTTATGAATGAAACTCTTTTCCCCCAGGAGACAGGACACTGCTATGTTAAAGCTGCACTCATCAGTATTTAATTATATGAACAATGGGTCAAATAACACAGCTGCAATAATGAACCTACAAAGAATTATAAGCGGACTCTTGATTTACCCTCAGCTTATGATGATATTTAGCGTCCTTATTGCATATTGCTTTGGTTTCACAGCCAATTAACTTTACTGCTTTGGTTTACTTACACCAATTGAATCAGCTTCCTTTCTGTAGATGGGCAGTGCTCTCAGTGACAAAGCTTTGATACGCTAGCTGCCCAGCACTAAACATAGAGGACAATGTTAGCAACTAGCTTGTGAACACAGTGCAAGCATTAACCTGCTGAAAAGCTAGATATGTTTTAGTTAAGGCAAAGGAAAAGCTAAAAGGAGAGGAAATATTACTCTAGTGGCCTGAAACATGACTTGAAAAAATGCTAAAGTTGATTCATGTCTGTTGCATGTGTAAATAGCTAACTGTTAGCTTGCTATTTCAAATGATAAACAAATACCTGGAACGCCCTAAAAAATGCTCAATACTTAAGGCAGATAATATGAATTATGAAGTTTCCAAGCTACTTGACAACACAGAGACAGATAGGGCAACATAAGTGGATACTATGGGCTGGACAGGTAGAACGACTGATGGTGATCCTTCCTGATCCTGCATGGCTGCGGTCCTGATCCAGAGCCTCTTTATCGCCCTCTGCACCACTCTCTACTCTCTGGAGCCTCATGTTTTACTGTCTGTATGGAAGCCCTGTCCTTCCTCAACATTGTTGCTATGCGTTTCCATCTGTCACTTTTTCTTTGTTTCTCCAATTGCTCATCTCTTTTTGCTTTCATTTCTTTGCTTTCAGTTCTCTCATTGTCTAGCGTTCACAATTTCCTGCTGGCTTACTGTCACAATATTTCCCTTTCTTTTGCGGACTTAAGTCTTTCTTTGTCTTTTTTTGTCATTTAAGTATTTCCTTTTGAAATGCCCGCTTTTCTGTATCAGAAATGGCCTGCAAATCAGAAAGAGGATGGGACAGAGTGGTTGGATATTGAGATAGATGTATGATTACTGCAAAATACCTTGGTTCATGACCAAATACTTTCCAACAAATCCCATCAGCTGAAGATATACTTCATGTTTTGTGCTAATTAGCACATTTGAATACCTTTGAGCTTAAGTACGGAGATGCTTGAAAAAAATATATAAATCCCTGCATTTCTATTTCCAGGATGATTGCATGAGCAGTCAATACATGTCCATATGAGACCATTAGAAACATCTGGCATTCATACATTTTAATGTAACGTAATGAGCATGAAAGTGATTCAAACACGCTCGTTCAAAGTATGGCGTCCATCTGTTGTGAGGAAGCGTCAACCTTAACTTTAGTGCGGTCATTACTGAAGCTGGGGAGTAACATATTTGAAGAGGTATTTTGTAATCTGTCAGGCTGTTAGTGGGGAGGAAATGAGTGTGGAGCTGCATGCTGAGGTGACCTCCATTACTCTTTGTAAGAAACAGAGCAAAGTCCACCTCATGAAAAGAGAATGAGTTTCATGTTGGTGATGGATGAGGTCTAAAGGAGGACAAAACATCCAGGAGGCGGTGAGATTTATGTCCCATAGGCTTAGCTACCCTGAAGATGTTTTGGTCTACCTACAAAGAGATATACACTGGTGTTCACATACACACTGCATTAGTAACCACAGCCACAGCGTCAGCACAGGTGTGGAAACTGTCAGAATCAGCAACAACTTGAACAGAGCGACCGTGCCTTTCATACGGAACACACAAACACCACCTGGTGACATTTCCCAGCCAATGGGAAAGGTTAAAAGCTTTGATTCCCCTCATTATGCAACCTCATTATGGCTCCTATTTAAACTGTTTTTGTAAATACATCAATTACTTCTCCAGAACACAAACATGTGTCTCAGCTGAAGCAAAAGTGCACTGAGGCCAGCAATAAAGTACGGGAAGTCCGACAGCACCATGGCCACAAGGTCAAAGATCACAGATACGGTGGCCTCTAAGATAGTGGTGTCAAAAGGAAATGGCAAATCAATAAGAGGCAGACTAAATCAGGTTAATTATACTTCCAGTAGTGGGTGAAGCAGGCTGATGTCCATGTAGCTGAACCTTTCTGTGATACAGAACAATCTATATCTGAACTAACATTTGTCTGGTGCAACACATTATTGTCATCCCTTCCAAATCAGCAATTGATATTTTTTTTATATAAAATGGGAGGCAACTATATAGTAGTTTTATAAAGCAGCCCACACCCACCTGGACACGAAGAAACACTCAAACATGCTTCATTATTTCACACTTTTTGTTATTTATAAAGTTAATTATCATTATTTTAAAAAATATTTTAAATGGAGAAGTTATTTCAAAGACATGCCTCCAAATGCTTACAAACTCAACCAACCAAATTCTTATTCAAATAACTACATCTGAAATTAAACCAAAAAATTGAGGAATAATGAAGAATGGTTTTATTTTCCAACATGAGGGTCTACAATTGTCAAAACTAAATATATTGAGAATAATTCCGGGATTTCTCCAACCCAAAAATACACCACATATGTTTTGACTATTGCTCTAACAGGTTGATAAGTCATAACCTCAGAGTCCTCACTGTGTGTCAACATGTTGCTGCCCAGGACCCCAGTCGGCTGTACCCCCTCACCTGCTCAGCTCTCTAAGCGCCCCTTTCCAGTTCCCATACCACTTGACCCATATCACCGCATATCTTTTTTACAGCATAGACTTTATAGTGCTGCAGATCCCGTATTAGCTAGCCTTCCCTGCCGACCTCCCAAACACCATTTCATTCATTCGTCACCACATAAGCTCACCTCCTTTTGTGACTTGTAAAATGAACACTTGTTGCATGTTGTTTCTTTTGCCTGTGCCGTCTACATGCTGCTTCCTGTCTCCCTGATCTACTGCTCTTTGACTCTTACTGTCAGTAGGAATTGTATCTGATAGTGAGAGAATGAGTGAGTGAGAAAGAGGGAAACATGAGAAAATGAATGAGCGTGCAATGAATTAGTGTTTTGCATTTGAGTGAGTGAATCACATGCATACATGAGGCGCGGAATTTATATAACACGGTATCTGCAAAAACTGCATTCACAGACCCACCTGTAATCCGCCTTTTGAGAGATGCCGTAGCTGCTCTCAGAAGGGGAACAGTTGACGGGCTGTTTATTGGTTTTATTGTTTTTCTTTTCATTTTTTTGAGCTGCGCCCTCGGCCTGAAGCCTGGATGCGTCAGCGGCAAATGTTTTATGACAGAAAAATCAACAAATGTGTGACATGTGTTTGTGCGGACTTGAGGATGGTGTTGAGGCATCTCTCTCGGCGGCGGGAACACATTTAGAGCTGGGGAACCGTGGACTTCCAGCTCTGTCACAGAGGGGAGAAGGAGGGGCTGTCACGGCTGGACCCTTCGAGGGAGGCAGAGGTGGAGTGCCTCGTCCTCCTTCTTTTTTCGACTCACACCTCCTTTGCATGGAGGCGAGAGCTGAGCCGAAAATTCCCTCGGGAATGATGGGCATATCCAGCACATCCTCCTTTTCCCGGTCTGGGAGGTTGGTGAGGTTGAGCCATCTCGCTCTTTCCTGCACCACCATGATCCCCATTGCCTTGCCCGTGGCCTGGATGGCGCAGCGTTGGACACAGAGACAAATGTCCGTGACCGCTGCCATCTCGTCCAGAGTGGCTGCCCCCGGGTTACCCGACAGGTCCTCGCAGAGCTCCGCTTGGTAAGCGGTTAGCAGCGAGGACACATTCAGGGCCCTGGCGGACAACGCTGCGGCTTTGTAGGACCGTTCAGTCATTGTCGACTGAAATCGGTCCGACTTTGCTGGCAGCGTGGGGTTCCTGCTTGGTGACAGGCCCATCCTCGGTAGGAACCGCTACCAGCGGTTCCATGGGCGGTATGCGGAGCAGGCCGAGCTTCTCCATTCCGTCACTGTCTAGGGAGGAGGCACCCTGGATTGGGACCTTGTTGCTGAAGGGCCGGTCTCTCCACGAGACCGACACCTCATCCAACATCTCCGGGAAGACCGGAAGGAGTTGCCTCTTCGTCCGCGCTGCTTGGGGAAAATGTTTCCCTTCGTAGCGGGACCTGGAGGTCTCCTTGGCCATTTCAGGCCACGGGATGTCGAGTCTGGCCGCGGTGCGTTTACACACGGCCTGCAGGTCCATGCTCAGACAGGGCGAAGCTGGTGTGCTATCGCCCGGGAGAGCAGCCCTCGCTCCAGGCTTTGCAGCCTGAGCCGATGACATGAAGATGTCCTCTTCATCTTCATCCGACTCGGACAGGAGGAACACCGAGGCGTCCTCATCGTAGTCCAGCTCGAGGACATCCTCCGCGGGTGAGACCATGGTGAGGTCTAACCGGGAGCCCCAGCTCGGTAAAGCGTGGGGTCCCGTTCCCGCGTGTCTTGCCGTCACCGGGTCCCGGCCTGCCAGGGCGCGGGATTCCGGTTCTGCAGCCATCGCAGATAATGAGCCCCAGACCGACACGGAGAGGGGTTCACTCTCTGCGGCGGACACCCCCATGTCTTGACTGCCGGCCGGCAGGTCAGTGGACATGGGGGGGTCCTGCTCCGACAGGCTAGCTTGGCGTGCTAGCCGTCGGCTGAGGCTCTTCACGGTGAAGCGAACACAATGTCCGCACGAGCCGCGGTTGTCGATAGCGCCTCGGGCGTGTTCCAGCCCGAGGCAGGACGAGCACACCTGGTGTGTGTCTGTGCCCGAGATCTTCAACCCGCAGCCGCAGAGTCGAGCCACCGAGTCCCTGACTCCTCTGGTGTGAGGGAGAGAGGCGTCCATCTTGTTCGCCTCGTGGCGTGGAGAGGCCCCGCTCTCAACAGGTAAGTTGGGAGAAAAAAGGTGTTACCACCCTGTCCTTAATCCGGAGAAAAGGACGGTGTGGGTCTTTTATTCCCGGAGAATACTGACTGGTGTGACAGTATGCTCCTTTAATCCTTTCCTCCTCCGTGGGGAAGAGAAAATAAAAAGCTTCCTCGCTACCGTGGTGTTGATAGTGAGGGAGCGAGCTAGCAACAGGTGTGTTGCTAGCTTGAAAAAATCAGACCTACCTTACTTTCCAGGGAAAGAGAACGGCGAGGTCGATTTCAATACTGGCATTATTATTACCGTCTTCTTGCGAAGCAGAAGGAGTAGCCGGCGAGCGCCCGTCGACCGAAATGGTTATATTTGGGTTCAGTCTGTGGACCGTTAAGCTTGTCCGGCTACTATAGAGATGTGCTCTGAAGCGAGAAGAGGTGTTTGAATGACGCATGTGTCGTGGCGCAAGCTACTTATAGGGGGTGAATTCCCTGACGCTGACGTCAAGATCACCAGCCAATCAGGATTGGCGTAATGAGATTGATGCTTCGGTTTGCTCCGCGATGAGGCGCATCCCATAGTGAGACATCGAACGGAGTGTTATGAATGAGAACTGCTGTGAAGGTTTCTAATTAGGAAAAATGACTATACATCATATTAATAAGCGGCTAGTACTTATGTGTTAGAGGCTATTTTTAATTGCTCCCATTTACACAGTTAAACGTGATCCTGGGCAAAACCTGCTGCTAGGTATTATCTAAGTTTGGATGTGATACAACGCAGAGGGTGAAGCAGGATTAATTGACTTTAAATGGATTATGTATCCGCTGGCTGACTCTGTGAAGGCAACATCTGACAGTCAATGAGATTCTGCGTAATTTGGGTATTAGCTCTATTGCCAGCCAAAGGACTTTCTTAATATTACCTGAGTCCCCAGTAATAACCTTTTAAAGGGTGCTTGATTTATTTGTGAAAACCGTGCAACGACATTCAGGTACCTTCAGAATGATATTAATGAAGTAGTCTGCTCTCTTTTCTTTAAATATTTGAAAGGATTAAAGTTCATCATTGCCCCAGAGTTTGATTACATAGCGTAAAATACTGAGAATTCGGGGGAGAGATGAATTTAAGAAAGACGACTGTTAATGGGGCGAGAACTAAAATATATGGAGCAAGAAGAAATACAGAGAAGAAACATGACTACTCCCTACAGACAGAGCTATCGTAGATACCGACCAATGGTTTTCAAATTCTCAAATTCACAACAACTTTGAGATTCTGTTTTGATAAAACCCTCTCAATGTCCGAGAGGTGATGGTGTGAGTTCCACAGATTCCTCACTCGTTGTTTTGTAACCTTTAGAAAGCACCTGGAGATCAACAACACCAGAACCCCAAGTAGTATCAGAGAATGTGGCAGACAAAGCCAAGATAAGATCACACAGAGTGGGAGGTGGACGGAGACAAAGAGAAAAATAGAGAGGAAAAAAAGAGAAAGGCAGAAGAAACTTGAGTGTGGCGAGAAAGAGAAACAGGTACAGTAAACGGAGAGTGAGTGAATGAACCAACCGTGGAGTGAACTTCCATTCACTAAAACCTGCTCTAGCATGAGTAGAATCTTAATTGACGGATTGCAGTAGGATGACTCACTATTGCTATTTTTAGCTGCTGAAAAGAGAACACTGTTTCAGAGTCGGATGTGTGTGTGTGAGTGGTCTGTAGCATTATGCAATCATGCACAGGATGGAGTTGTATTGGATCCTATATTGGACAAAGATGGCAAAAGTACACACATCCTTTGCTCAAGTAGAAGTACAGATACTCGTGTTTAAAAATACTCTGGTAAAAGTCGAAGTACTGACTAAACTTCTTTACTCAAGTAAAAGTAAAGAAGTATGGGCTTCAAAATGTAGTCAAGTAAAAAGTACCCATAACTACCAGCTGTTTTAAAGACTAACTGACCTCCCTTTATATTAATAGAACAATAATGTCATTGTTAGCTAATGAATGTTTCGATGCTGAACAACGGCAAAATGACAACGTTTTCATTGGTCCCTCTTGTTTAGAGAAGACCAGGAAATTATGGATGAAATCAATAGGCACGCAATGACTCTAAATAATAATGATCACGCCACCAAATGCAGATCAAAACTAAAGTAACCAGCCTGTTTTGAAAATGTAAGAAGTAGAAAGTACAGGTCTTTGTGTTAAAAATGTAAGAAGTCGTCAGAAAAATAAGTAGTGGAGTACTTAAGTACAGTAACGAAGTATTTGTACTCCACTACTTACCACCTCTGAAATTGGATCTTCTCATAAAGCACACCTAAAGAGACGTACTAACCTGTATTCCTATAGAAGACCTGGGGGTCTTCAGGTACTCTTCAGCCCTGGACACCAGGATGGCCTTGTCGCAGGTGAGCACCGAGCTGTGACTGTCTGTGGACGGGTGTCGTTTTCCAGACATGACTCCGGCCGCCTCCATGGCGATGGTCACAGCCTTGGCGCTGTCCAGGCTGTCGGTGGAGTTGTAGAGGCCCCTGCCCGGGTTGAGCCCCAGGCAGAGGCCGTCAAGGGCCCACATGCCGCCGTGAGGGTGCCTCCCCTCGTGGTAGGCATCCTGGGTGGACTCGGTGCTGCTCTGGGCCGTGATGGAGATGAGGGGCTTGGAGGTGGTGCGGGGCGGGACCGGTGGAGGAGGGGTCTTCTTGTAGTTGGATGTGTAGGTGATGGCTGGAAAAGGTGGAAAGACACAATTAATCAAAAAGTCAATTTTAAAGGTCCCCTATTATACTGTTTTTCATCAATATATTATAGGTCTCAAATATATACAAAACATGTCTTGAAGTGTTTGGCTCCAAGCACCAAACAGATCATTGTAGCATCCCATAATCCCCTCTGTTTCAGCCCTGTTTCAAAAGTGCTGATTCTGTGTCTGTTACTTTAGATTAAAATAAGGAGCCACTCCCCACGCCCCTCTGAGAGATATTTGGTTAAAAAGAACACAATGGTGCTCCAGGAGGAGATTCAGGTGATAATCTGGCTGGTGTTAACTTGGTTGGTGATTGGCTAATGGTTACACAAGCCAAAAAAATCGTTATGATATCATAAAGTGGACAAAATCCGATCAGCTCATTTCAGACCTATCAATCTCCTGAAAACTTGAGTATATCCTGTAAAAATGAAAAAGTGAAGAAAATTCCCAGTCATTCAGAGGAGTTTAGTATTAATCATAAATATAATCTCTGGTATTTGATATCATTATTTATAAATACTGAGTTATAAAGCTTCAAATCATATTGAAACTACCGCACACCCCAACGCCTCCTGTTAGTCATGAGCCTGACAGGATGATGCTGCCGATATTCTATTCATTATATCAAACTACAATTAATGAATACCAAAACCTCCAATGCATTATTCTGTCTCTTAACACTTGTGCTTTTTCCTACTTTGTGTGTCACCAACATAACATCTCTCAAAGAAAGTCATTACAAAAAAGGCTGAATAATTTCCTTAAACTGCTGGGCAATCTTTTTTAGGTCACTGTACTCAATCAGGAATATATAGTGAATTTAATTGGGAATATGTTCAGCAGTTGAGTAATACACATTTAAATCTTTAGTTAGAATTGTTGAAAGCACAATGGTGTATGTGGCTCCAAAAGCTGCACCACATGGTACCCAATTTGGCCCGCTGATGTTTTTTTTCCAGTATTATATAATTTCTTTAAAAGTTTTTGGACAACAATAGAGCTTCACGGCATGGAGAATTGTGTTATATCACACTTTGGATACAAAGACTTTACTTTCTTTTCATGGGATTTCTTAGTAAAATAAAATGTTATTTTATTTTCAGACTTGTCTTTCAAACATCTGCCATACAACCTCATGATTGATCGTAGAGATTCCTTTCAACACAACATCTTAATATCAGTATATGGCAGAAACATCATGCATGCACCTAATATTCTACCCATTTGTCATATGACAACAAGCTGATAAAGTACTCTCCAATGTTATTAGCAATTCATTTTATTGCTTAATGAACTTACTTGTATTACTTAATGACATCATTAGCATATGTGTAGGCTAATATATTACAGTGATTATGATGGCACATTAGGCAGCAACACCATTTGTTTCACAGCTTGATAAAAAGTAGCTTGTTGCTAAATATGGAAAATGTATGGAAATCTGCTGATCAGCTTATTGATCCAAGCTGAGTCAGTACTCTGTTTCAGATGTTGGCCTGTTTGAGGGGAAAAAAACGTTGAGTGCTCAGATAAGTGAGGGAAAGGTTGAACATGTGGGCTCAGTTTAAAAAGCTCTGATATGTTCTTGTAGAATAAGTGGATATCAGGGAACATTAAAGCCTCTGTGACATGAGACACTCAGACATGAACAACGGAAAAGAACCAGAGAACTTGTGTGGAGGATCCTGTTTTTTCATCTTCTTATTCTGTCCATTTCATGTCAGAAAGAAAGGGGATTACTTTCTTTCAAGTGTAAATGAGAATCTGGACTTAATCCATGGAGAGATGGACTTGAGGAATGGGTCATGAACGCCTTCTAAGCTTTGACGTGTCTACTTTTTAAGGCTTTTAGAGAAAAGCTTACTCAGTGTGGTTACAAGCTGAAAAATCTGGAGCACAAGCCTCGTTGAGTGTGTTTTGATCAAAGCTGCGAGTCTGAAGCTAAGAACAGCAGAAATAAAGAGCTGTAGAGGAAGAACAGTTAGTCATGCTGCAGGTTAAGTTATGGGTTATCGTTTTCCTTGAGAAAGAGGTAAACCGTGTTGAACTCAGTGTTTCTGTTTCTGTCTAACAAATGCTTACATCACACAAAGCAATTAAGAATGTCCTTATGATCTATTTTGGGGTGTAATGAGCTGCGCCCCACACGCAGGCTCCCAAATGTTCTGTTGTAAAATTGATAGCATTTCAGCAATTACGTTAGAAACAGCACCTTGTATAATAATAATAATAATAATAACACCCTAGGCTTCAATTCACACTCGCAACACCTTTTGGCCTCTTTTTTAACCATGTTTTGTTTTTGTTTTTTAAATAGCTAGAGACGTCTGGTCTATGAAGAGTGTTCCGCTCCGGGGGCTTAATGACTCATGCTGCTGTCCATTCACAAAATGTACTTCTGGTTGATGAAGAGATGCATTAGAGTAGAACAAGGAGGATGGGGCACGGAGAAATCTGTGGGAGGGAGAGAGGGTGTGTGTGTGTGTAATAGAGAGCGACGATAAATCAGGGAGCGAGGAGGGTTCAAAGGAGGAAAGAGATGACCCATTCAGGGGGCATGATTCAGCAGGAGGACCAAAATAGAGCCATTATTAGCCAGTCGGTCGTGCAAAGGGGAGTCATAATTCTTGCTCGCATCTAGGCAGCTCAGTATTACTCAGCATTTAGATCTGAAGTGAACACAGACAGTGTTTGCCAGCGTGTCAACTGAAAGCCTTCATTACTGTATAACCATGAGGGGTGTTAACAAATGAAGATCATCAATTGTAATAGACGGTCAATTGTAACATTGTGGCGTACACCATGGTCAACCACGATTAATATTAAACAAGGAAACCACAGGGCCACAAAGCCCAAGGTTATCTGTGGTATTACTCACAGCAATTTCATTAATTTCATATTTTTGCAAACAGATAATGTTCTTCTTTATTACCTTATCTTGTTTTCACATTTTAATTCAGCTTTTATCTGAACGGTGCATGCCACTGCAAGGCCGACTGCACATGACTGGAGGAAAAATACACGTAGATTTATTCAGGCAGCAAAAACGATATCTTATTAAATGATGGTCAGATTAGGGACAAAGAAAAAAGAAAATCTGATTATGTTCTTCAAACAAACACAACATTCATATTTAGAATACGACAAAACTAAATGTAACATTTATACATTCAGCAAATTGAATTGGGGTAAATGAGAAATTGAAACATTCACGATCTGGTTTCTTTTTTTTGTGGACAGACATTTTAACACAAACCTTTTTTCCATAAACCTAATCAGGTGATTTTTGAATTCACAGCCTGAAACACAATAACCACGTTAATGTGAGTGTCTCACAGCGTACACCTGTTGCTTGTACCATCCAATAGTCTTAAATGCAGTTTTTTGGAGACATTGGCAAACTACCTATTCTTTCTAAAGAAAATATTAGACAGTTATAACAGTATTAAACAGTTTGAATGGCCAATAGGTCTTTAAAGTATCTCCATGACAGCAAAAAAATTTTCTTTTGGTTTCAGGGAACATTATGTACAGTGAGTGCAGTTTAGAAGAAGTGTTTTAAATATATCAGCATACTCCATTTAATCGCTCTCTCTCAAACGCACGCACGAACGCACGCACGCACACACACGCACACACAAGTACAAACAACCACCACTGTGCCAGTGAGTCTGATTAACGTGAGACACAAACAAAGTGATTCAACCACTCCATCTCTGTTAGGAGCTCTCCATCTATCGGGCCTGGCTTGTATGCTAACACGGGGGACTTGGGGGTGGAGTGGGGTGGGGGGTATTTTGCTGAGTGACACATCGTTAAGAGTCTTTCTTCCCGATTGGATTCATCACTGTAAAGGAAATGCAGCAGTTTGTTTTGCAGCAGGCTTTTAAGGATATGTAAATGATCTGGAGCGAGGGAGGGAGAGGAAGATGGATTGGTTAACTCCATTATGGGCCCTGAGTGTTGCAGACAGATACAATAAAGAATGAATATAATAATAGCAAACAAAAGATAAGAGAAATCTGAGTGATTAATCCAACTCACTCAATGATGAATCACTGAGAAAACAAATAAACAACACACTATTGTAGAAAAAAATACTCATTTCATGGCAAGTTTCTTTGATACGTAGATTCAAGGACGTTTGGATAGACGCTATACAATCAGAAAATATTGGTGTCTGTAAATGCTACTAGTATACAAACTGTAGTATCATATAATGTCCTTTGTTTTCTGTCATGTTTGTATTAATGTTTGGAACTAATTGAAGCAGGTCACCATTGTAAAAGAGGTCTATGATCTCAATGGGTTTTATCTGTATAAATAAAGGTTTTGAATTGAATTGAATTGAATTGTTCTTTTGTCCGCCTGTAACGCCAGATGTTTATTTTCCTGCTGTTCATGGAGTCCCCTCCTGCTGACCCATCTGCTTGTCACCAGTTAGATGCATGTCACTGTGGACTTAACCTCACCCAGCATGAAAACAAATCAGCTTCCTCTCGACTAGAATGCACAAGGAAAACCAGGGGTGTGCTCATGCAACAACGCACACTTTGGGATAGAGAGATGTATCGTAAAGTTACACTCTGCCGAGCTATGGCAAAAAAAGGCTCCAAACAAAGTATGGAGAGGGTTTAGCGCAGGGGCGTCCAAACTTTTTTCACAGAGGGCCGCATACAGAAAAATATACGAAGGGCTGGGCCACCCACTAGAGGTATATTGCCTCATAAGTTAAATTATAAGTTAGCAAAATCAATCAAATGTAGCTAAATGATGCTTGTGAGTGTTGGCAGCTCATCCTTTAAAACAGAAGCTTCAGATTGCTTATAATAAGGAGAAATAGGAAGGGTGTATTTCAAGCTTGTTATGTAAATAAGTCATTGGGCTTTTTCTTATCAACTAAGATATATTAGAAAATGTTTCCAACTTTAATTGACTGAATTTATTTGAACATTGACACGTGAATACTATTGTGTAATATATTTTTACATTTATATTTAAGAAGTACAATAAAAGACAAGCACAAGTTTAATGTGTGGGCCATATTCCATTATACCTTTTGAATTAGCTGAGGACCGATTTAAAATGGTCCGCGGGCCATAGTTTGGACACCCCTGGTTTAGAGTATTGAGGCCTAGTGCAGGTGTAGAGGAGCAATGGCATCCTCCAGTGCCTTAGGAACAGATATATTGTAGTGTAAATTACTCATTTTTTATTGTAAAGCTCCTTAGCTCCTTACTATTTTTTAAGCTTGTAGTTTATGAAATGTCTGGCTAATTGCAGATAAGTAACACTATTTATACATGTGCTTAACAGCCACTTGCCACTGATTTGTTTCAATTCCTCACATTGACACTGAGCACTGATGCCCCGTTATCAGGATTACCTGGGGTTTGTTGGGGGATCCGGTCAATGCTGCAGGTGGAGGGGAGGCAGAACTGGATCCCTGAAAACAAGGGAGTGGTGTGGATATTCAGAAAAGTGCCCAAACATAAAGTACAATCTATCCACATTACACATGACTACACACAAAGGGGATCCAGAGACTAACTGTGCAGTAGGATGTATAGCAAATCAATAACAAGGAAGAAACTAAGACACTCTGCCTAGGCCATTTTGGAAAGGGTGCAATTAAGTTATCAGTAATCATTCAATTACTGCCTTTTTATCTTTGATTATTAACTGAGATTACACATCTCTGACGTGTTTTGTATACCAGTGTCAAGGCCTGTAATTTAGGTTGGTGTGCATAGGTCAACAAACATCACCTGCGTTGGCTTCAGGATCCTGCCCCGAACATGGGTTTACCATGAACCTGAAACTGCTACACTCTTACAAGATGATCAAATACAGAAATGAGAAAATCATTGCAACGACCCCTTTTAATGAAATGAAAGCTGACTCCCTTCGAGGTCTAGTGAAAAAAACTGTTTTTAAATGCTTTTGTCTGAATGGCTTTCATTTTTGTAAAGCACCTTGAATTGCCTTGTGTTGAAAGGTGCTATATAAATAAACTTGCCTTGCCTAGTGTACTTCCTTTGTTACAGTGATACATGTATAATACCAGTCCTGTCAGGGTGGAGACTTTTGCTTGAAAATAAAGAAACTGTTCAAGTTCAATTAAATATGACTGATATCTTCCTAGATAACAATATGTAACATTAAGACGTTTGTGATTTAAATTGAGTAAGAATGTTTCATTCGTTTTTTATTGATTTAATATTCAAAATGACAGCTATTAAATGTGTAGTTGTGAATATTCCACCCAATCTTAACAACTTAATCCCTCTGTTTTCTGATTTTATTCATTTTATCAGGAAAAGAAATCTGTTAAAAAAGCTTGCTATTGAAACAATTGCTCATCTTTTCAACCTTTTTTCACAGTGCTTAAGAAATGGAAAGATTATGATCCTGATATCAAGTATTTCTTAACCTTGTCGTTAGTGCATGATGCTGCAAAGGGTCACATCCCTGTTACACTCTCCACAAGCTATACCACATTGACAATAAATTAAAGTACACGAATACATAAAACAATCCAAACATATATGCAAACTGCAGTAAAACAGTTCATTTTTCCTGCATGCCATTTAGGTTATACTGTAGGCTTACTTAAAAAGGCTTTTTAATCAAATAACAGTATATATTGTATTATAATAAATACAAGTCCAGCCAGCCTGTGTAATTCTCTCTGCAAAATCTAACATCAATAAAGATTATATGCCAATATATTTCACTGTATGACTGAATCCAGAACCCGTTAATATTTGGATTATTTCTTATGAATACATATTATGTCACTGCAACACAGGGTAATTATGTGCTACAATTTTGCCATTTAAAAGTTAAATATGGATGGGATCCATGGAGGAAAAGGTGGTGCGTTTGATGCTGCTGAAATTGACAAAATGAATACAACAATTCAACCTAATTAACTGTCCATCCCTTTAAAAAACTTTCAGATTCAGTCAATTTAACAAACTTTGCTCTGCACATATTCAATTCAAAACAACACACGGGAAAATCCTTTCGTCTTGCAGCTCACTGATGTTCGGCTGAGAGACTCTTTCTGTTCCAGCGCACTTTATTAGAGCACAGACTTCAGAGGGCGATTTCATATAAAGCCCATTAATTAGACAGATAACACAGATGTATCTTGCAATTTCTCTGACTTTTCAGCTGTTCGTTGCTGGTAACAGAATTGTCCGTATTCTCTGGTATGTAAGTTCCTTTCCTTTCACTGAATATTCAAACAAAACAATGAGTAGAACCAAATAATTACAATGAGGCACTGTATATGAAATGCAAAAAATATTGAGGCCATCTGTCATGCACCATTATATTCATCATTCAGTGTAACACGTGTCAAAAAACAGCCACATGTTGTACACCCATTTCAGGAAGCAACACAGTTTAACATGTCATTACACTTATGTCCCAACATAACATTCTCAGTCTTTGATTCCTGAGAATTGAGATGACGTCTTACAGTACAAAGTACAATATCATCTCTTAACAAGGCCTGTTTGTCAGATTATCAGACACATTTGATTTGTTATGTATTTTTAAAAACAAATGTGTCCTTTTAATGATCCTCCATGAAATATGTGTGTATATGGCGTGTGTTTGGTACCAAGTGTATGTGCATGTAACATGAGGTTATGTGAAGAAAGGCTACATACAATAACTTTACTTGTTTGTAATCATTTTTTAGCATGAAATACAAATATTTTAAGTATCTTTCTATTTTCTATTAACAGTACAGTCTTCTTTGAGCCCCCTTATGGTCATGGTGAAATGTTGTTTAGAGGACTACTTTTGCGTAACCTCACAATTTGCATTCTCTCGCAATACTTTTGTGTTGCCTCACAAACATTTTTTCTTACATTCCTTCTGATCCATATGTCTTTTTTCCCTAAGCTGCTCCCAGTAAAAGTCCCTATGATCAGCTGATTGAGTTTTACTCTGGGCATTAGGCTAAATGAATTTCTTAATCACAGTTCTAATATGAGGAATGTATTATTGTTACTCTATACGGTAATGTGATTTGAGCTAACTTTCCCTTTAAATGTATCAACCTTGTTGGTCATAGGGAACAGGAAGCAGCGGACATGGCCAATAAGTATGGTGGAATAACATTTTTGCAAGAGAACACAAAACATTTCTGGGGCGAGAAATATGGCGAGGTAATTCACTCCTCAAATGTTTTCCTCCATTAGCCATTGGGGGCTCCGTAGAATTCACGCTCACTCTAGGGTTGTGCAAACATCATTTCACAGCATAGTTTTTTCGAGTCCATCCAACAGCTCACATAGTAAACAGTTTGTCCTTATAGTTATATGATAACTGCGAAGATTCACTTCACTCCAATCTCGAGTGACAATAAACAGAGAGTAAAGAAAATATTCCATCATCACAGTAAGGATTGTCAGGACCTTGTATTAATTTAGCCATCTTTTCCGTAGTGTATAACAGAGCTTCGATAGAGTCTCTTAAAATAGATGTGTCAAATGTCTTTGATGTAATAAAATGATTAAACATTTAGTAGTGTATCCAATGATTAAGAAGGCAGTACTGTTCTGGAAGATAATTCACATCCGTGGTGACAACAGCTTCAGCAAAGTTCCTACTGCTTTTGATAAATGTTTGTGAATCAATGTTGTTCAGTAAACACCACAAAGGGTTCATCATTTTCTTGCAGTATGGTGCAATCCATGAAACATTTTTTTTAAGCTACCAATGCAGTCTGTTGCTGAAATAATACTGCAGGTTTGAGGAAGTCCTTGCTTTGAATGCCATCGCTCACATGACATTTAAATCTGCACGTTGCTCTACAGTGAACTAGCAGGAACAAACTGTGAGCTATAAATATACATTGGGCTGCATTTTGTCTGCTGAGAATGAGGTATGAGCTCACAGAGTGAGGGACACGTATGTAATTTCCGCACTGTTGTAGTCGTATCTCCTGCTCCAGAGTTCCACGCTGGCACTCCTGTGCATTGATTCTCTTCTTTGTCCCCTCCTCTGCCACCTGCACCACAGAAAGGCCTCCTCCCTTGAGGAACTCTCTGTAGTATCTGGGGTTTCTTCCTCCACAAGTTCCCCACACTCCTGGAATATAGCCACACACTCCATTGTTTCAGCAATCATATCATCTGGCTCACTGTGTGTCAGGTCCACTGAGGGTAGGTCTTCAAGGTTTGGCAGTGATGGATCTGTATCTGATGGAAGATCATCTGGGGTTGGACTTGAGGGTCCAAAGTCCATTTCCAGCGATGAACCATGAGACACTGAACTAGGAGGTGATATTGTGACAGTGACCTGTGGTAGTAGGATTCCATGTACTTCTGGGGGATCATCCCGAGGCATGAGAGCTAGGCGATACTCCATTGCTGGATCTAAACAGATAGATTCTGTAGATGATGTAGGATCCACTGCAAGGTCAACAGTGGGTAGTGGTGAACCTGGACAATCTGATTGGTAGATAGGATCTAAATCCTCTGTATCATATAGATAGTCACCACTCAGGTTAAAAGGCTCTGGTTCAGGATCCATGAACACTGAGTCAAGATCATCTTGATCTAGGGAAGTCAGCATTACTAAGTCAAAGTGGACCAGATCGGCATGAAATATGGGGGTGGTATCAAGGGGTTCAGGAAGGGGTGGCCAATCTGAGTCTTGAGACTCTGGGTCAGTGTCGGGTAGAGTATCTACTGAAGTGGAAGCAAAGGTTGAGACTGATGTCATTTGCTCGGGGGGAGGGTCAGAAATATAATCTGGAAAGGTGATAATGGGATCTGGATTTGTGTCACTGTCAGTTGGACTTGCAGGAGAATCTTTGTCGGGGTACTCTGACACCACAATGGATGGATATATAATGTCAGTTGCTAAATGTAATTCTGTAACAGTCTCGAGATCAAGTGTGGGTGCATCACAGACCAATAATGGGTCTTGACCAATGGGATCAGATGGGAACACCATGGGTATATCTGAAGGTTGTGATTCTAATTCTGTTGGGTCTGCAGGATCTGGGTAATCTGATCCTGAATATGGCAAAGACACAGCAGCAGAGTCTTGATACACCGGATCTGGCTTTTCACCAGAGAAAGGATCAGGGGACTCTGAATCTGACATGCTGTCATAACCACGTTCTTCAGGTGGAGAAACAGTTACTACAGGAACTGGATATGGCAGCTGTATTTGATCCCTTTCAATAAGTACTGAGTCTGGGCATTTGGTGTCATTAGGTATAGAAGTATCTGAACGGGACTCCTTGGCTGGGCCTAAGTTTATCAGCTGCAGAGTGACTAGAACTGAATCCTGAGGGCTCTCAAGATCTGCTTCTGGAGGAATTGGCACTGTACCATGATTGGTGACTGGCTCAAAAATGACCACATCAGATGAAGTCACAATTGTATGGGCTGGTAACTCTGTTTCAAGATTGGCTAGAGAGGGCAGAGCAGTCAACTCAAATACATTTGGTTCGGCTGCTCTAACAGAGCCTGAAAGTATTGGATCCAAAGAAAGTGGTATGGCACTCTCCACATACATTGACTGTGGACAGGCCAGAATGCTTGGGTCCATAGAGAGCTGTTTTGGCAGACGACGGGCCCCTTTCTTCTCTTCCTTCTCCTCTGGACAATTGACAGCTGCATCTGCAGTGCTTTGGCGGACAAGGACCTTGCTTCTGGCCTGTGTCCCCACAGACACTTTAGATATCTGTGGTTTCTTCTCTTTAGCTGCCCCAGTGCCTGCATGTGCTGCAGAGGTTCCAACTCCTCCTGCCCCTGAGCCCTTCCCTGCCCCAGCACCTACTCCTGTCCCGGGACCTATATCTGCCCCTACCCCCACCCCTACCCCCACCCCCGCTCCTGTCCTGGGGCCTATATCTGCTCTTACCCCTGCCCCCGCCCTGGGTCCTGTCCCTGTTCCAACCCGTCCTCCTAAACCTGCCCCAGCTCCAGCAGCCATGTTACCACCTTGGGGAGACCATGTGTTGTAATGCTGTGTGAAAGTGTTGAAGTTACTGTTGAAAGCACGAAGCTCTACACAGAGGTCCCTTCTCAGATCAGCTAGCTCTCTACGCATGGCCGAGACCTCTTCTTTCCACTGCATGCTGATAGCTGCAGCCAGAGAAGCAGACTCTTTGATACTGGCCTGGATTGCTTTTGGTGATGGTCGTTCTGGGGCACTAGATCTGTGGGATCTGAAGAGGCTTGGAGAAACAGGTGGTCCCGACACAGGTTTGGCTCCTGCCCCCATGTTATCTTCTTTGTAAAGTCTGTCTCTTCTGATGGGGCAGCCTAGATCATCATGATCCAAAGGGGCCGCTTCTGCCAAATCCTCATGTACACTGGCCTGGTCAGGCAAACAAGAGTCTTCCTGAACATAATTTCTGTCTGGAAGACAAATATAAATACGTATCTGTAATATGGCCACAGGTGTGAGCAGCTGGAGAGAATGTGCTTTTTATTGCCACAAAGCAGTAACATCAAATCATGCACTGAATGCCATGAGTCAAAACAAGATAATAGCAAAAAGTGCTAATCTTATGATTATTGCCCCAATTCACCCATCTGTATGCTGTAGACGTGTATTGAGGAATTTGTACACATCATTTTTTATTAATCTGTAATATCGTTTAACATTTCAAACCCAGTGTAACACTGGGAAAGTATTCCCATTTTGACTCATTTTCGTTAATGGTTACACTGCCTTCTCAACCTCTAATTGTAGCATGCATTCTGCGCATCTTTTCAATGCACAAAGCTAAAACTCCAAGCTCCCAGAACACATCACAGAGAATACACATAATTTTTTTCAGAAATGAGGTAGGAACAATCCTTGCATGCTCGTCTGTTTCAGTCGAGGTAAAGAAATGTGTACTTTGTGCAATGAAAAGAGGCAAAGATGAGCAAAGCTTTCTAACCATATCCCATCAGTCATAGGTATAGTATGAACCCTATTGAAAAAATCAGGTCCAGTTTGACAGATTGATGTCCAAATTGTGGCAAGATCTACCACATTTCAAACACTGTTTCCTAAAAAAAGGAAAGATATTTGAGTTTACTGAGAAAGCAGTGTAAGCAAACATTTATAGGTATGAATAATTGATCATAAGCACAGCTCCAGATGGCCACACCTCTAACCCTCCCTATTATAGTCCAGCTAATGTTGTTAGTTCATGAATCTACTGTGGAAAGAGGTGGAACCCCCTCAGACTTCTCATCCGGATACTTTCTTCTTTTCTTCCCACATTCTTCATCACAAGGACATATCATTTCAACTGTGAATCCAGCAATGCAGTAATTGTTGAAACCACCATCAGCTTACAATTTGTAATCGAGGATCAGTATCAGAAATGTATGCACGTCTCAGCTCATTAGGTTAGGATTGATTGTAGCAAGTTTGCAAAGGTGATCTATGTGACTAACCAGTGTGACAGTTGAGTTATCAGTATAATCATTGTCTCTATTAATTGATCTATTATTCGGGTCTGGACTTAATGAATGTGCAATTCTTTAAAGTGATTGCATTGTGAGTAAACATGAGCTTTGCAATAAGACACAATTTGTGTGAAGTGAACAATCCAGGGATGCAGAATATTCACAGTTTATGCTGCAATAAGCGTTAAACTGGGTTTACAAGTACAACAATGCATACTTTGCAGACAGCAATTTCAGATTTGTTCTTTTGCAAAAAAGCTTTGAGTACGTTCAGAAATGGCACCCTGTGGCTCCATAAAGAAAGTGAAATATCCAAAATGTACCAGAAAAAGCAGTCTTTATAAAGACCTGATTTTAACTTCAGACAATTTCCATTTGTGATTTTCAATAGGGTTCATAGCTTTACTCTCTGATGCATCCAATGGATGAGCAGATGAAGCACTGTATCCAAAATACAGTAGGATGAACTAGCACAGCTCACAAGTGGTAGCTACAGTAAACTTACGTCCATCAAAAACAATGGAAACATAGAAGAGTGATTCATGCAAAGATGTAAAGCTGTTTGACAGCACAACCAGTTTGCACTAACTGCTTTGTATTCATCCAATTACACATGTTAATGACAAATGTAAGCTTTTGGTGTCAATTTGTTCAAACAAAAATACCGACATTCAGGATTTCACACATTGTATTCTGCAAAATAAGTCCAGATTTCCTTACCTGTGGTAGCCCTGATGGTGGAGGCGACGCTGGACGCCATGGGGGGGATGCAGTCATCATCCTGGGAGTAGCCGGCCTGGATGGCTCGCAGGTAGCTGTGACTCCGAGTTCTGAAGCAGCCGGGCAGATCCAACGCCTCCATGGCCTGGGATTCAACCTCACTGAACACCGACTCGCACACTGATTCAAACTGGCCGTTTATTTCTGTCTCACTCACCTGTGAGAAACCAAATCTGTGAGCATGCTGCCCTAATTGTTAATCCAGAGAGTACATTTTAATAAATGTATGATCTAAGAATAATAATAAAAATTGCTTGTTGCTCTGAATCCAACACTTGCATGTGGTATATGTCTCAAATGTTCCTGGAAACGGATCTTTCATATTTGCACACTGGTAGATAACCTGGGGGCTGATTGCTTATTCTGTAATAGATAACAACATCAATCATGGTCATACTGTGTCAGAGAGTTTGCTGTAAAAGAGCTGTTGTTAATGTCGACCAGAAGTAGTTCTGTTTCCTGTTTCAGATTGTATGATGTAATGGTTCTGAGAAAGTCAAGTATTACAGATAAACATCTTGTTCTATTGGGATCTTGAATTTGTAAGAGTTTAGTTGAGGCTTTTAACTCTGAACAAATCCATAAACCTCTCTTTTAAGAGGGAGATTAATATCTCAACAACCCCTGTAGGCGTCGTTTAATCCATTCAGATAAACAGTGTGGAATGAACTGTCAAATCAAATAAGTGTAATAAGTCAAATGAAGCTCGAAAAAAAGAAGCCACGGGTTTTGAAAAACAATAACTAAATGGCTTAGAATTGAATATTTGCACTGAGAATAATAACTATGTTTTCAACACTAAGCTTTTAAATCATCAGCGACTTAACTAATTTCCCTGTGGGCTCCATGGGATCTCCGCAGGGTCCCTCGGCTTCTCCCCGAGTAAGAAGTACTTTCACAGTTCACTTATTAAAAGGGTGCAGACTCACCTGGCTCACTTGGCTAACACAGCTAGCCTGGCTGAGGGTGCTGACTGCCCGCATGTAGCTCTGGTTCCTGGAGCGAAACTTGGGAGAGTTGTAGTTGGCAGAGGGATCCAGGGCAATGCTTGGGTGCATGTCCCTGGTGGCTTGCAAGTGGTAGCTCTGACTGAACAGAGAGAGAGAAGAAAAAGCAAGAAAGGAGTGGGACTACAGCCATGATGACTACTTCCTAAGCAAGTCAATTAAACATAATTGAACTTATAATCAAAGCAGATTGCCAAGTGACTACAGGTTTAACATGATGACAAAAACAATAATATGTTATCAAGGGAAGGGGCCTTCTCCAGGTAACCTGAACTTACGAGGGAGACTGGTAATGACCTTGTGTCTCCCGAGAGGGGAGCCTCTCTCTCTCTGTCATTTTCTCTCCCCCACTACATTGATGTTTTCACCAGTGTCCTTACAAAGGCAGTTCGATTTCTGTTGTGCTGAAACGTTCAATCAATGCTTGGAAATGAGGGAAATGCAAATCAGGAGCTAGTTAGTGAGCAAGCACTTCAGAGAGCACCGGTGTCAGCCGGGTCAATTAAATGTGCTACACCAGCAGTGCAAGGGATGTTCAGAAACCCAAGTGTGGTTTGAAATCTGCTGGAAGGAAATAGAAAAACATGGAAGAAAAATGCGCTTTGAGTAAACTAGAGAATACTCTAGTTCATTGCATTAGTAATACCAAATTGAGGTCCTCTCCGCCAGATCCATTTCTAATGGCAGGCAGGGATGAGTAAGCAGTTTCTGTGCTTTTCATAGAGATAAACATTGGGGTTTGGCAGCGAGGAAAATGCTAGTGTGATTAAAAGTCCCCCAATCCATCTTGTCCTGCTGAAGCAAGGCTGTGTGTGTTTGCAAAGTAATATCAACCTTCTACACGTCCAAAGGCATCCTAGAGAAGAAACATCCAGAGGAAAAGTCTCAATGAAGTGGTAAAAGCAAATAAGCTATACATAGGAAGTGCTGGTGTTATGTATAGCAATGAATCAGGTCATATCTATCTTGTGTTTAACAGAGCCTTGTGCTTTGCCAGTATGAGCACATTGCCCTAGGTGACCTCTCATTGACTGGTCTTGAGTGTTTGCTCTGTGAGGCGGCCATATTGGGTATGTCAGCAGGGCAGCGAGCCAGCTGGATCTGGTGTCTGACCACTGCAACACGGCAGCAACAGAGAGCGAGGAGAGGGGGGGTGCTGGGCCTGTATTCACCTTAAGTCTGCCGCAAAATTGGTGATGTAGTTACGCATGTCACTGTTGATTTTATCCAGGCGGAAAGAGCTGTGGGTAGAGAAGAAAACAGAGTTACTGGGTCCCACAAGTGAGAGTTGGATGGATATGACGTCACTGGGCAAAGGTCCAATGGAACTGGCTCTGTATGGGATTTGAGGTGGATTAAATGTTTGCTTGGGAGTCCTGCAAACATTAGGGTGATAGAATATGACCAACCTCAAGAAATGTTAAGAGTGAGAGGATGATTCTGTTATATTACATTGGCAGAAAGAATCGCCTGCTCAAGGCAATATGCCATAAATTAAACATGTGCATACACAAGTGGCGATATGAAGTGTGTATTATGAGTTTTGTCTCATAATTTTTGTGCAGAAATGCTGCACACAAAATACAATTACACCACATCATAAAACTTGATTATTTCCCGTGTGACTAATTAGATTTGCTTAAGTGGGCCAAATGAGAATTAGAAATACCTACCTAACATCCTTCCCTGAGCAATGAAACCTAGTCAGGCTTTAAAGCTGATCAGATATAAGTGCACTGCCTGACGCATAACGGAGGCTTCCTACATCCATCCCGGCCTGTAGAGATGTCTATTATCGTCAGTTGATTGAAGGGAGGCTTTCTTTGAAAAAAGCATTGGCCCTTTATCAAATCATGTCAGAGCAGATTTCCTCTAATGTCTCTGATTGGTTCTAATGCACTTCAATTGTTGGCCAATATTAAGGCATGGGATGATGGATATCTCACACTTCCTGCAGCTGAAAGCAAGGAATTTGATTGATAGAACAGAAAGAACAAGGACAAAGGACAATCTGAAAAAGAACACAGCAGGAGAGAAGATTTGGCATAAAGTATTAACATACAGTACAGTATGTACTCACGTCTCACATATGTGAGGAAAAGGGAAGGAAACCTGGGGGGAATGTGACTGCTAGACCAGAAATAAGTAGATATGTTTCCGTCTTGACACACAAAAGGCACTCTATGGAGAACAACTACATTTTCACACCAGGGAATAAATGAGAAGTCGATAAGTTCAATAATACACAACAGTAGCATACTCATTGTGTGTGTTTTACAGGCCTATAAAACACACACAACTGTTTGTATTCAACTATATTGCCGACCCAAGCTATGAGTCAAAAGATCAATACAGCAGTTGATACGTTTATAAATGGGATATTAGGTAGCAGGATCTTTGACATAGTATAAAGTGTTCTATTCATAGCGGAGGCAAAAAGGTGTTAAGAAAAAACCTATGCAGCACAGCCACAAATCAATGGATTGGAATTTTTGACCTTGAGATCTGAGGGAAAAATGCTTATACAGTATACCCAATTTTAACTGAATGAGTAATTACATTATGAGGACTTATCGGATTATCGGAAGAGTTGCCAGTGTTAACTATGATTAATTATGGTGCCTAGAGAAGCTAATCTAATCTAATCTACTTTTTTTCTCTTGTCTTTTTTTCTCCTCTTAATTCTCTGTCAAAGCGTCTTTGAGTTTCATGAAAAGCGCTATAAAAGTCCCATGTATTATTATTATTAATCATGGATGTGCAAACAAATGGGTGTTATTTACCAAAATTACGAAAATGGATGGGATTGATTGGCTTGTGGTGTTGAAGTTATTTAAAGAGGAGTGAAGTTGCCAGAGATTAATACATGTGATTCTGTTCATGTGTGTCAATGCAACGTGTCAATCAATTCCTATCATCGTTAAATAGTCTTTAGGCATCTTTCGGTTCTACTTTAGCAGCGAATACAAAGCTGATTCATATTCAATTCATCACAGCTGTCAGCTCTGCAGCCTACAGGACCCCAGGGTGAGGATGTAATGGAAGGGGAGGGGGGGGGGGGGGGATGTAACTGATTATTCATTAAAATAATCATTGACATCTAACTTTCCTTCCAGTGCACAGGCTGTTCCAGCTCAGCGGCCCCCATGGCTGGGAGGTATTCTTTATTGGTGAGACGAAACAAAGAGGCAATCCTGTCAACAATGAGAGTGACAGAGAGCTCCAAAGAGGTAAAGATGGAGGAAGGTGACACAACCTGACAGCCTGTTCTCACTTTAACATGATTTGCTTCAGGGGGCAGATGCTGTCAAATTTGTGTTTGGTCCATCTGACTGCCCCTGTGGGACATTACATTGCTAAAAGAGCAGAGGAAGTTGAACCTCCACCATGTCTGTCTGGTATCCAATCTAATTCCATCCCAACAAACCCAATGAACATAACACCATGAGAGCTCTGTCAGGTGGCATCTGTGGGGCCTTTTATGTGTGGATTTAAAACGGTAACAGGTATTGATGACAAAACAACGGTGCCAAGAAAAATAGAAGACAATAGTCAACATTCTAGAGGTTGCTCTGCAGAAGTTCTAATATACATGTTCAACAGGACAGGACTTATTGTTGGCTATGTCCAAATTCAATCTAGGGCTGCTCAATCTATTGTTTCTTTTTATATTCAGTGACATGGTAACTTATCCAATAAACACGTGGCAAAAGATTGAGATATAATGCTCAAGGACTTTTTGAGTTAGTTAAAAGAGAGTATGAGTATAAATTGCACTTTTTTTTGAGACCAAGAAATTAACACCAAAAAAAAAAACAACCATAGCCTATAAGGAAAAAAAAGAAGATATATGAAAAAAAAGATAAATATAACAGAACAACGTTAATAAAAGCTTAGTCATTAAGTTATATTTCATCAAACAAACAAACAATGAAAATAGAATAAACTGCAATTTTCAATACAAATAATTATGTTTTGAATAATTGGTGCCTTCTGTGTTTAGTTTATCTTCAATTTGTTCAATAAATGAATGTTTGAAATAATTTCCTTTAATTTATTTATTTAAAAAGCATTTTGTCGTATAACCCTAGAGTATTTATTGCTTTTTCATGAAAAGTGTTTCGTTTCCTGTCCCTGTTGAGGTTATTTGTTATGAAAGGATTATAAAGCATGAGTGTGCCGGGTGCCATTTTGTGTAAGCTGATTTATGGGAATCAAAGTTAAAATATGTTTTCAGCTAAAACAGTATTCTACATAAATCACTGTACTGCAACAACATGTGTTATAACATAGAGACACTGTTACATTTGTTCTTATGAATAACACAACATTAATACAGTATCGACTATTATCCAACAACCGCACTGGTTTTGCATTTATATTCCAACATTAGGGTGTTAGCTGCATATAAATATTTTCTCTCCACTTCTGTAACCTGTTCCTATCAACCTCCTTTGTATTCTTCTTATGCTGCTGCTCAAAATGTTTCTCTTGGGATCAATACAATGTGATCTTATCGGATCCACTAAATGAGCTTTATAAAGAGCTGTTACTAACTGAATGGAACAATTTACAGCTGACAAAACCAACTTGTCAGTGTTCTCTTTAATGGTCTAATTGACTTTGCTAATTGTTGCCCAACAAATATGCCAATAAAAATGTACATCTGCCTTATCCCGGCTAATATCGATCAATATATCGACCATGGGGCTGCACCAAACCACTCTCTCAAGCAATATTTCTGAGGAGGCTCAAAATATAGAAATAATAAGTCATGCATCTCCGTTCTAAGACAGGAGGAAAGATAGCACATTATGTCATTCTTAGAGAGGTTTCAGGCTATAATCGTGGCTCTTCTGTCAAGCAGCAGGCCACACAGCCTGATCCATGCTGGTCAATATCTTCCTTTCAGCAGAGCCCAGCAGACTCTTGGCCTAACCACTGAGAGGGCCATTATTTAGAGGGGCCTTGGAGTACAATAACTGCAACTGATAGCTCTTCCTGCTGTTGCATCCTCATAAATCATTCACTGTTTACAGCTATTCAAAATGGATAGCCGGGGGAAGCTTTGCAAGATGTGGAAAAAGAAGCATACGTCACTGGAGCTGCCTCATACATTACTTCACACTCCGAAAGAGCTGATAAAAAGGCTGAACGTCTGCATCCTCTGTGACAGATGTTATTATGATCCTGCCTAAATCACAATCAATAAGACTTGATTTGATTTGAATCACTCGCTTATTATGTAAGCATGCGGGGGCACTACTTTTGGCCCTTGACTGTAAAGGCTGAATATCTCTGCTGCACTGCTTCCATCGCCTGTCATCCTGCAGAGAGATGTCACAAACACTCTTCCAGAGATGCCCGACGTTTAATGTGTGTTTGCGCATACATGTTTTCATCAGGGTTAACAGTGTTACCAGAGTCTGTGGGTGTTGCTGCGGATGCCAGGGACAATGCTGATCTTTACGAGAGAATATAAACCTTTGCTGAATGGCAATGAGCATGGGGTCGGAGGCGTGAAGAGCGAGAGACGAGGACATGACAATATGAGCGGGGGAATCATCAATGTTACTCAATGTGTCTCTTGCTGTGCATTTATGTGTCTGTCACAGGCCACACTCTACACTGGGGTCAGACACAAGGTCGTCTTTGCATAATGTCTACACTTTATGTCACATTATGTGCCTTTGGTGCTAAACCAGAGGCACATCAGACTTTGACATACTCTGGCAGTCGTGTCCCTACACTACCCCAATTTCACATTTGAATGGATTTATATCAGATTGGTTTTTTTGTGACTTTTTTGTGGGTTTGCATCTAATAGTGCATTCATTTCTCCTTTTTCTCTATCTGTAGCCCAAATGTTTAATTCAAATTCTGTCTCATTTCCTTGGGACATCATCCACTAAGACCATTATGAACCATCCAGATCTCTCAGGTCTTCTGGGACGGGTCAGCTTTCTGTCCCCAGAGTCAGAACTAAACACGGTAAAGCAGCGTTCAGTTGTCATGCTCCAAATATCTGGAACAAACTCCCAGAAACCTGCAGGTCCGCTGCAACTCTGACTACTTTTAAATCCAGGCTGAAGACTTTTCTTTTTGCGGCTGCTTTTAATTGAACTATTCATATCTTAGACTGCACTGTAACTTATTCATGTATTTTCTATGTTTATTTTATTATCTTTGCTTTTAAATGAGTTTTTAAATGCCATTTTATAATGACTTTCCGCTGCATTATTTCTTATTCTTTCATTTTTGTAAAGCACTTTGAATTGCCTTGTGTTGAAAGGTGCTATATAAATAAACCTGCCTTGCCTTGCTTAAGACATGTTGATGAAATAATGATTCAACCAGCTTTAAGCCATATGTATCTATACAGGAGCAATTCTGTTTGAAAAAAGGACACTCATTTTGTCTGTTATTTTTGATAATAGCGTTGAAATATTTCTTCCACTCCATATGAGCTCAAATTGATTTGAACTGATTGGAGGGTTAACTGGTCAGGAATAAAGACTTGTATGTCTTTTCTTCAAACAGTTGCCTCTGCATGGCTCTGTTCACACATTATTCTCAAAAATGAATGCAAAACAAAAGACTGCATGTAACTGTCATAAAATGAGAAGGACCTGGGGACCTGGGGACCTCCACACCGAGATCAAACCTTGACTGGTAATTGGACTTAATAAACACCACTTGCGAAGCAGAACAAAGGCAAATACAAAAGAGCAGGTCCAGAATATTTTTGAATACTGTCAAATTATTAAGATAGACTTGTAAATCTCGGCTGTAATTATAGTTTCCACATTATGCTATATGAACAAAAAGGATTGCGTCCCTTTGAAGAGCAAACAAAAGGGAATTTGCTTTCATGTATTCCCATCTTTTAAAAAATGTACTTTGGGTCAAGATTAAACCGCCAAGCAGGATGTCATAATTTGGTATCTCAAGTACTATAACAATACAATTCAAAACCACAACTTTAAAAGTTTCACTTATGAGTTCATAATTGAAAACTTAGCATTTAAAAAACTCGGACGGAAACACCTTTTCTGCTTGTGGCTGGGGTATAACCATACACTGTACTATATGAAGGGGTATACCCAGCACCAAGTTAACATGAGTTCATAAAGAGATAGGATATGAGGTGCAACAGAAGGTGAGGCAAATGTGGAGCAGGGGTATACGCAGACAACTATCAGGACATACAACACACAGTAAAAGCAGCAGAATAGAACATTATCTGACCTATAACAGCTTGAGAGTAACCTGCACTGTATTATCTCTGTATCTACTATAATTGGCTTCGCTAACATACATAATAAAAAAGGTACATCATCCTATGTTTGATGGTAATGATAACACAATCATTGAAAATACTTAGGGGAAAAAGCCATTGCTCAATGGTGTTTTCTACAGCTCTTTTTGGTGCAAGTACTCTATTATCCAATTTCAACCTAATCTAAGGGATGTATTAATGCTGTAATTATAGTAACTCTCCTTGTATCTCTCCTGAGCAAAAAAAGCTTGTGTTCATTTCTCTGTGATATTTTCTTCAGCTTGTCTCATCATGTAATCCTCTTATGAGCGTTTTCTTCCGCCGCTGAGTTACAGTAAACAAAAGCCCTCTGTTTTCTCTGCGTTTAATAGGGCACGTCCCCTGAAGAACACACTGAACACTTTCTTACCGTTAATATGAAAACACATAAAGGGATTCTAATGAGTACAGGATTCAGCTATCAAGTGCTTGACACTGTTGTAGTGGTGGAGCAAAAGCACAAGAAAACTGACAACACTGCTCGAGGGATTGCAGTAAATAAAGTAATAAGTATGACATTCCTCAAAGCTGAGAAAAGCTGTTTTCTGAAAAAAAAGGCAAAATAGGAACACAGAAAGAAGCGAGTATTGGAATATTTTAAAGCCACTCTTTTTACAAATGTGTTTTTGGCTACCCTAATAGTATTATCTAAAATCTCAGGTTCCCATGTTGGATCCCTGACACGGTACGTCCACACAGCAGCTTTTCAAAAATCTTGAAAATCTTGGAGCTGGGCGTGTCTGAAAGCTTGGGGATTTCGCGACCAACAACCAATCACATGAATCTCCCGCCCCCGACATACAAAGCAAAAAAACCCGGTTCTTCTCCACTATTTCTTTTAACATTTTGAACATTTATGAGATTAATGTCTATGGTGCTATTTTATGCTACATTCCATGCTGGCTAATGATACTGTCTATGCTTGCTAGCAACGAAGTAAACTGGATATAAAATCCCCAAACATGCGAAAACCTACCAGTTTCACCCACTGTCTCTGCCACCTCCCTCCATGCCTGGTTCCTCCGGTTTGTATCCCGGTAAGTAAATAGGGACTGGTCATAAAGAACCGGGTGATTTGCTACCGCAATAACTAACTTCTCCTCCATTTTTGTGGAATATAGAAATGAACTGCGGGTCTGGTTCTCCCAGCTTGCACGCGGTTTGATTGGCTAGCGCTTGAACTGTCAGATTTGCATAAACGGATCTGATTGGCTGTCGCTTCCAGCTCAGCCTCAAAAGTTGAACAATGTTCAACTTTGGAATCCTGAACATCCTGGGCTGCTTCTCAGGTCGATTAAATGAAATCCTTGCTTCCCTCACTTGCGTCGTTTCCCTGCGTTTAGTCCCTCCCACCAGGGAAGCATGGAGGGACGCAAGGAAACCACGAGAAGCAGGGAAATTAGTTTTAAGAGCAATGGGACGTCCTTTCCTCCGGAGCGTCACGTGAAGCGACGTCCGTTTGTGATGACGCTGCACAGCTGATCGTCTGACAGCAGCTCTGTCCCCGTTATTTCCACACACCCCCCCCGCCTCTGTTAGTACACATTTACTGACACAAACATTTGTATCATCTGTTGTAGACCCCAATAAATAAAATAAAATAAGAACTAATTCTCAAAAAAGATAAACGCCATTCTTAAAATTTATAAACGAACAATAGTTTGATTAATATTGATTAGAGTGCACAATAGAAATAAAATAATTGAGAGAAGAAAAAGAGATATGTTATCTATCAAAACCCAGTTAGATTAACATTCATTGGATTGTACACGTTGTTTGTTTGTGTGGATATGTAACACATTAACATTTTAATAGCACTTAATGACTGACTGAATGGAAATGACAATAAATGAAAATGTAAAACGAAAAAAGCGATCATGAAAATGTTTCCAAAAAATGAATTAAATGATTTTTGACCACTTTGTTGTTCAGATATATCACATATTTGTAACTAAATGATACATGAATTGAAACAAAACACGGTATAAACTGAGGAGTGACTCCCGTGAGGTTCATGTATTTTCTTCACTCTGCTCTCATGTCAAGAAGCATCAGATCAGTGCATGCACTGCCTCGTCCAATCAGTGAGCGATACACAGTAAGGGGGCGGGGTAAGTATCTGAGGATTTCATCGGAGGATGGTCTGGTGGTTCCTCGGTTATCGCTCCTCCATGATCGCTCCTCGATCCTCGGTCCTCCGGCAGAAATAAGAAGCATGGGACGGTACTCAAGATGGCGCAGGCAAATAAACTTCCGGTGAGACCGAGGAGCGAGGAGCGAGGAAATGAAAATAGTCGACCTGAGAAGCAGCCCTGGAAATCCTGGAAATCTTCGCCTCGCCCCCCCACAATGCAGTTCGGCGACAAGCGAGGGAAAATGACGTCATCCCCATTCAAAGTCAATGGGCGGAGACGCGCTGGAAGCGGTGGACAAATCGCCAAAAGCTGCTGTGTGTACGGGCCGTGAGTAATCCCAAACTGACAAATGGTGTAATCACATAAATATCGAGCACAATATTTAAAGATAAAAAATGCGACTTGAAATGATAAAGATGGACAATGTTCGCCTAGCACTATATACCTTAGAGGTGAAGTGAATACATAAAAAAGGACAAGAGTTAAATGACATCTTAAAGATACATGTGTTTTACCTGTGGGAGTCCAGCAGTTCCCTGGGTCTGATGATGGCTTTGACCAGGGCGTCGGGCCGCACCACCTTCTGAGGCGATGTCTTGGGGCTGGAGTCCGACTCTCCGCTCTCCTCGTCCCCCATGGCTTTAACATAGCTGCTGCTCCGCATCCGACGACAAGGGATCTCATCATCCTTCCCGCCGCCAGGGTAACCTCCCCAGTCATCCTGGGGCACCTGAGTGGCATGGGGATAGTAAATAGTCAGTGAAATAATATCAATATTTTTGGCCACTTTGGGGCAGAAGAAGAAGCTATAAAGACAACATTGTCATATTATCAATGTACACCATTTGTACACCAAGAAACGTGAGAGTGCATGATGATGTAAAACCAACACTTTCCGCTATTCCTAAATGGAAATGTCTGATTCTGTAACTTCTACATGTCTGGTGCTAAGCAGTTAGAGTTTACTGTTTTGAAATATGTTTTTTATTGTTTGTTTCTTCCTAAAGAATTAACAGTGGATAAATGGTCATAAAGGGTAGTACATCTTTAAGTATGTTCCCACCTCTGCATTGCAAAGTGCACAACGACCATGCAATCTATAATCATTTTATAAAAAGGACTGAGATTTTGAGAGGACCGTATTAATTTAAATAAACCAATTTTCACGATGAGTCAACCAACATTAAAACCATACCACTTCCATTTAAGCTTCTTATTAGTCGGCCAGGTTAAAAAAATGCAGACTAAAAATGCTGTTGATCCGGACTGGGCTTTTAAAGAATTACTAGTAAAATACAGCTTGGAAATGGAGAAGAATAAACTATCGTTGCTCAACTTCACCTAGCTAATGCACATGGAAAACCTGCCACTAAAACAAGCCAGGCAGTTTGCATGCTGCACTTTTTATCCACTCGTTAAAGCAGGTCATTGAGTGTTCAGACGTCAGCATCACCATTATCCCATTATTTAAAGTGAGAACAGCGTGTCTCACTTGCACTTTCATACATATGGAGTGCATATTTCACACCGCACACACAGCTGTCCTAAATGTGGGATGTTGAGTGACATGACGCCAGACATCATCCTGCAGTGGTAAGTGGAAGTTAATGCACTTCTAGATTAGTCTTTCATGCCCTGCTCAGACTAGCAATTTTGTTATTTGAAGCAGAGCACATTTACATGGTATAATAGTACAGAACATTTCTGAACACACATCATGTGGAGCCAATTATGCTCTGAATCATGTTCTTGTCGTGAAAGAAAAATGGGACTCCATTATGGTACATGCCATCATCCTGCTTCAACGTTATTAAACGAGCCTTTCTGTATTAGAGATGGTGGTCTGGCTTATTAAAATCTGCGGGGCTACCTTAACAAAGTCATTGTAATGAACTGATGATGATTGTTCAAGAGCTCATTTTACAACTCTCCTTTTCTCTCTCTCTTACACACTCTCATTTTGCAGAAGTTAAACAGTACAACATAGATGATATTTGGGAAATAACAGAAGCAGAGTCAGAGTCTCAGCCTCTTCTACTAACACATAGATAATGCGACACAACGCTCAGAGACACAATGCTCCTTCTGCAGATATACAAAAGCACAAAGCTCTCGCCTCTGTTCCTCTGTGTTTATATTTTCCTTTAGATGTACCTTGTCGCAATCTGCTGAATCTGTGTAGTGGTCAGAAGCTTTAGCCACATTTACATGGTCACTGATTTGGACTTATAAAATGTGACATTGTCAGTTTTCATTTGATTTAAATGGAGTTTAATCATTCTCTGATGCTGTATGCATCCTTCATACACTAAATCCGACTTAAGTCCCTATTTCTTTAACTTTATAGTAACACTTTTCCAGAGTTGCACCCCAGAATAACAAAAAATGCCTCCTAACCACTATTTATGATTCTAATATTATACTATGGTGTGTATATTGCAAAGTCTTTGTCTTTTACTGCTCAATCTCAGTATTGCATTTGATATATACTGGAAGGTCACCAGTTCAAGTCCCGGCAAGACCAAGTGCTACCGAGGTGTCCCTGAGCAAGGCACCGTTCCCCACACTGCTCCCCGGGCGCCGTTCAAAATGGCAGCACACTGCTCCTAACACTAGGATGGGTCAAATGCAGAGAAACAATTTCCCCACGAGGGATTCATAAAAGTCCATCTTAATCTTAATAGTTGACCATTACTGAAAAAATGGGTTTGACTCAATTCAACCTGGTTTTAATCCTCTCTGCAGGAAAGATACTATTTTTTGTCAGTTTGTAAATGATAAAATATCATATCATAATTATGCAGACAACACTAACATGTACATAACCCAGATTATAATGGGACATTACAGTCACTGAACACCTACACGGGACAAATCATCAATTGGATGTGCCAACATTTTCTGCAATTAAATAAGATGCCAGAAAGAAATGATCCAAAAGCAGTGCTCACCTCAATGTTTAAAACCTTTAACAGTGTCACAACACAAATCTTGTGGTTCTGAAGCTTACTATATTACAGCTAGATCTAAATAACTCATGCCTTAACAAGACTTAAATAAACGTTATCATGCATTTGTCTTTAGTTAACCTGATAATGGCAACAGTGTCTTTACAGGTCTTACACAAACCAATCATTTAACTATGGATTTTCCTAGACGCTGCTGCCTGTGTCCTTACCAAAACCAAGAGGGTAGAACACATCATGTCAGCCCTCAGAGTCTGACACTGGCTTGGGGCCAGAATGCATGTTTGATATCCTGCTCTGTTACTAGCCACCCAGAGCTGTTAGATCATCTGGGACAGGCTCGCTCATTCTCCACGGGGTCAGAACCAAACATGCAGAAGCAGCTTTTAGTTTTTTTGCCCCGAAGATCTGCAAAAAGCTCCTAGAAAACATGATGTCTGCTTAAACCAAGAGTTATTTTTAGTTCACAAGTTAATTTAAAGATTTCACAATATCATTACTTCTTATCTCTTGACTCCTTCAAATTTCTCTACTTATCAATTAATTTTGTTTTTGTTTCAAATGATCCATTTTAATAAACATACCTTACCGATTCTATGTTTTCTGAAGACATTCTGTGGCCAGTCAGTGACTAACTCACTCCTCAGACTTTTACAATGAACTGGATGGCAGCTGACTGCATGTTGGAAATGTCAGGAGGTGATAGCTCGCCTCAAAATGTCACTAATGCATCACACAGATGACCCTCCTCATGTTCTGATGCAAATGTCTTCTATTGGAAGATAACAATTGAAAGGCGATTATTTTTCAAAGAGAAACAAAAGCAGACATTAACCTTTCCAACACTGCACTTTTAGGAATAAAGCCACCCTCTTTATGTGATAAAAGCAGCAAAAGCAGCGGGGATTCTTAAAATAAATTGTCCATAGTATACCATTGAGACATGTCAGTTTTTTAATGAGACATATGAGACAAAAACGATTCCCCCTGACACTAAGGCTGCAGCCACACGAGGACAAAAACGGCCGTTTGCGTTACTGTTTAGTGTCATATAGACCATTCGGCCACACGAGGACGACCGCATACGGCACTAAACGACTGAGGAAAAGATAACAAGTCCCAAGGTGGATAGAACGGCATACGCAACGCTCTGGGGGGTCAAACAGCTCCGTGTGTGCGCCCTATACGATCATTTTCTGATAATGATTGCGCAATAGCCCCGCCTCTCCCCACCTCTGCTGCTCACCTCCGCGTACCCCGCGCCATTGCTGATGTGTTTCGCCACCAACAACAACAACAATGGCGGATCGCAGAGTTGCTATCGTGCTCCGGACGCTACTGACCATGCTACAGTTCTTTGTGCAACATCTACAGCAGACTTACACATCCGGAGGGGATCTTACTCGCTGCTTTTGTGGATATACTGCAGCTTCAGCGATCATTTTCTGATAATGATTGTGCAATAGCCCCGCCTCTCCCCACCTCTGCTGCTCACCCCCGCGTAAAGTAAACTGCACACTGAATTCAGATTATTTATCTTTCTCTCGATATGGACATAAACGCGAGTTGAAGTCTAATCTGACAGGACGGAGACACCTCTCAAACTACCTAAACTAGTTATAAATATGTTTATTTGTACTGTCGGCCGGGTCACTCATTACTGGATCAGCTGCTGCATGAGACAGACACTGACGCTGTCCAAAGAGAGGCTCCGTGTATTTTTATTATTATATTATATAGAGTCGTTATTCATTTGTTTTAAAGCTCAATAAATAACAAAGAAGACCTTTGACCGGCACTTTTATAATTTTGTCGGAAGATTTAAACTTTAATACACGTTGACTGGAGAAAAACTCTGCCCTGTTCCCTCGGCCCCCACCGCGGAGAATAAACAGAAGGGCAACCATGACAACCATGCTTCTTCGCTGCTTTTGTGGAGGAAGTTACAGCGCCACGTACAGGCTCCTGCATATGTACTGCAGCTTCTCCAGCGGTTGGAGCTAAACGGAGCGGTCTCGTGTGGGCAGACACTATCCGGATAACTATTGCGTGTGGACGGAAGCTTGTTTGCGATTGCGTTTGCGTTAATCCTATGCGTTTAGCCGTTTTCGTCCTCGTGTGGCCGGGGTCTAATTTGACTTACCTCTTGCATCAAAGAACCCCCACCCACGTTAACTGCACTAACAAGTGTCACATCAAATCAAAACAGCTGAGTAATTGATCAATTATGGCTTTATTACAACCATCTCTGTTAATCATAGGGAATAATGGGCCAAAGCAGCCTTTGACTCTTCTATTTCATCTATGTTGTGACATTAGTGTGTGATTGATGGGGATTATGGTCTGTCCTCTAGGCTTGTGAAGCTAGGTAGTACATTTCACTACAAAGCTGTGGTTGTACATCATGAAAAAAGTAAATATATATAAATAATAAAATATGAAAAGGCAAAAAATATGAAATAAATATGAAAGGCAAAAAATGCACATCACAGAAGCACAGCCATGCAAAAATAGAACTGCATGACTTTAGAAAACATTAGCTAACTGCGATGCCCTCTACCCAAAAATGCACAGACACGAAGCAGCATACACTCCCAAAAAGACACACTCTGATAAAAGTGATTCATCTCCCCTCCAAAGACAGGCATGCACCAGCTACCAATTGAAGTCGATGGGTTAATTAAGTCTTGGAGGGGTTTGATATTTTTAGACGTCTAATTAATGAACGGAACGCTAGAGGACAGGCACAAGCTGTGGTGAGATT